GTTCCTTTGTTACGTTTCGTTTCGTTTAATCCGTTCAATATCCTGTAGGAAATCCAGTTTGGCATCTTTGACAGCTCTCACCAGCTTTCTTCAACGCTTGTGTCTGTTTTCTGTAATTTCAGTGTCTGTTTTGTAATTCATTGTCCGTTACATCTCATAGTGAGCCCAATAAATCTACTTTGTTACTGTGTTTTATAACTGTTATCAACGTTTTACAAGACATTTTCTTAATTCTTCGCCTTTCTAAAAATAAGTAAAGATCCATTTTCACGCCTTATGCGTCTTGGGCCTATGGGAAGAGCGTCCCATATTTTTACAGACCAATCGGCACTGGGTGGGTAATGTGGTCAGCATTACGCCGGCCGTCTTTACTTCCCCAGGACATTCATCCTGGTACCCATTTTAGGCTGGGTAGACCTACGACGCCCCATACCATGATAAAAATCAACGCAGCCAGCAGTGGGTTTCGATCGCGGTATGTTGGAATTACGAGTCGGACGCCCCTCTTCGCCTTACTACTTGTCATCTACTTGTCATCTATCGCACTCTTGGCCAATCCGTAACAATTGATCTGCCTGGCCTGGAAGACCGCAACCTTAGATCTTTAAGTTTCTTCAACCGGAGATATAATTAGTTTCTTGGTCTGCATAATGTAATAGTTACCTTCTGTTTTCCGACCCTCTTGGCTTCAGTCAATTCTACAGTCTTTAGCAACAGTTGTTTCCCTGCTTACCGACCAGCACGTGGTAATTAGTCGATTCCACTGGTTCTATGGCTCTTGAAGCTCACCTAGCCAGCTATAGTAAAAGTAAGGGCCTCTATTCAATGACTTTAGGCATATTGGGCATATAGGGCTAGACCTATATTTTTATACACCAAACGACACTTGGTGGGTGATATGGTCAACATCACGCCGACCGCTTTTACTTCCCAGGACTGCAATGGTACCCACTCAAAGCTGGGTCGACCTGGAAATCAAGGTCATTTCTGAAAAAAGTCCGGCTCCGTCAGGACTAGAACCTACGACCTTCCGATCCGCAGGCGGCCGTCTAGCCGCTAACGCCACGACGACTCCTTAGCTAGCTGTTTCTCCTCCTTAAGTAAACTTTTAGGTTGCTAGTTTAAGTGAGCAATCCTCTTACTAATCAGTAATGGTACTTTTTTCTCGCCTTAAGTCGTACTTGGCATAACGGACTAGACCTATGTTTTATAGAGCAATCAGCACTCGGTGAATGATGGGCAACACCACGCTGGCTGCCTTTATTTCCCAGGACTATACCTGGTAACCACTCAAAGCTGGGTGGACCTGGAAGCTAAGATCATTTTTGAAAAAAAAAGTCAGGACCCGAACCCACGACCTTCCACTGCGGCTCCCCTACTAATCAGTCTCTTCTTCTTTTTCTGCCTAGCCCCCAATGGAGCAAATGCCCTCAACCAACTCACGCCAAGTTGTTCTATCTTTTGCTATCATATGCAGCTCTCTCCATGTCCTTCCCATCTTTCTAACTTCAATCTCCAGCTCCCTTCTCCATGTGTTTCTTGCCCTTCCTTTATTCCTATGCTCCTGTTAGTTCTAGTGCTAAGACATTCTAGTTAAAATGTTCTCCGGTTTTCTCAGTGTGTGTCCTATCCAATGCCAGCTCCTTTTCCTCACCTCTTGGTCCACTGGAGCCTGTTTAGTTCTCTCCAAAAGCTCTACATTAGTTATTCTATAACACCATTTAATTCCCTCTATTGTGCGCAGGCACCAGTTAATGAATGTCTATAGTTTATTGGTAATTGTATTAATTGTTCTCCATGTTTTCGCCCCATACAATAGTTCTGATTTGACATTCATCATCATCACGTAGCAGGTTCTTTGCAGAACGTCGCACTCATCACAGTCTGCCTGAAAGAAACTCGGTCTCTCGCTAGTTCTCCCTCCTCGTGCACTTTCACACTCAAGGAGTCACTTATATCCTGTGCCCATCTTCGTGTCGGTCGGCCCCTGCCACTCCTTCCTGGTACCATGCCTTCTGCTATAATTTTTTCCAATCCGTTGAGGCGCTTGATATGACCAAAATATTTCAGCTTTCGAGAAAGGATGCTGTTTATTAGCCATTCTTCCTTGATGTTGAGGTCTTTTAAGGTGTCAATATTTCTTATCTACTTTGTCCAAGATATTCTGAGAATCTTTCTATAGCATTTCAGCTCAAAAGCCCCTAGTCTCTTTCTTAAGGACTGAGAGATAGTCCACGACTCACATCCGTATGTAGCCACAGGGACGATGCATGCTCTCAAAAATTCTAACTTTTATCTCCTTGCTGGTGCTTAACCATAGACTTTTTTCAATCTTTGCTTTGCTATGGCCATCCTCCTTTTAATTTTTGTCGAACAGTTTCCATTGTTGTTTATTATAGAGCCTAGATATTCAAAGTTTGTGACATTTTCAATTTCTTCATCATTTATTGTTATTTTTGGGTGACAGCGAGTTTTTATCTGTGGATATTATTTTCGTTTTCTTTTAATGCAAGAACAGATTTTAATCTTCATTGCACTTTTGGACAGACAACAACATTACATTTTCTATTCCCTTTACGCTGTTCGAAAGGAGGACTGTGTCATCTGCTTAGCGGAGTTCAGGAATAGGGTTGCCATCAATGTTGAGCGGATCATAACTATCACAAGTCTGGTCATTTTTGGCATTTCTCTTTATATTTTTCTTATATTGAAAAGGTATGGTGAGAAAGTGCACCCCTGCCTCACCCCCTTTTGCACCTCGAACCAGTCAGATGTTTCACCAGCTGCTCTGATGGCTGCTTGTTGTTCATGATAGAGATTTTCAATTAATTGCACTAAATGCGCTGGAAACCCCATACTTTTCATTAGTCCACAGTTTATCGTGCTGGACACAATCAAATGCCTTGCTACAATCAATAAAATAAGCATGAAGATCTACGTTGTATTCTCTGCATTTTTCAAAAATTATTATAATATTAAAGATGTGATCCCTAGTTCCTCTACCCTGTCTGAAACCCGCTTGTGCTTCATCTATCTCATATTGTAATTTCCTTTCAATCCTTTTCATGATAATTCGTAGGAGGGTTTTGCTAGCATGACTTATTAATGCGATGGTACGGTAGTTGAAGCATAGTTTTGGATTACCTTTCTTTGGGAGAGGGATATAGACTGTTCTTTTCCACGCTTTAGGCCAAATGCCACTGTTCCAGATCTTCGAGCACAGTGCATGGTAGATTCGGACGCTGGCCTTTCCTCCTGCTTGAATTAGTTCTGCTGGTATTTCGTCGCAACCTAGTGACTTTCCTTTCTTCAGGCTGTGAATTGCTGATCGTACCTCATCCAGTAAAGGCTCTGGTTCTTTTTCATAACTTTCACAGGTCGTTTTTGAATTACTTGTCACATCCTCATATATTTCTCTACAGTATTCTTTCCATCTTTCTAATATGTCTTTGGTTTCCGTTAATGTGTTACCGTTTTTATCACTTATTACATGTAAATAAGTCCTGAATTCGCATTTCAATGTTTTAATTTCTTTAAACATGTCTCTGTCTCTACCTTGCATCCGGAGTTGTTCAATTCTATTACAGGTGTTTATAATAAACTGTCTTTTTTTATCTCCTCTGATAGCTCTTCTGATTTTTTTCGTGTAGTTCCTATATGCATGGCTATTTTTTTTATGTCTCTACTTGCTTTAAATTTCTTCTTTCTTCTATCAGCTTGAAAGTTTTTCTGTAATGTAAATCTGTTTCTTGTGTGGTTTTTTTAGGAATCATGTTCTGAGCTGTAGTGATGATGATGTTTCTTGTTTCATCAGCCAACTCATCAGGTGTCAAATCCTCCTGCACTGCCATTAGCGCCTCAAATTTGTTTTCAGCCTCAATGCTGTAATCATTTGGCAAATTACTCAAATCAAAACGTATTGGCTTAGCCCCTTTTAACATTTTCTTCAGTTTTATTTTAAACTCTGCAACAAGAAGTTTGTGATCAGTGTCACAGTTAGCTCCAGTGAGTGTTTTGGCAGATGTTATTAATGTCCTCTATTTTTGTTGTATTAAAATATAATCAATTTGGTAACTGCTATTTCCATCTGGTGAAGTCCAAGTGTAGAGCCTTCTTGGGTGTTGTTTAAATAGTGTGTTGGTAATACACATATTCTTTTCTATACAGAATTTGATCAGTTTCTCCCCACTCTAGTTTCTGTCTCCTATGCCGAATGGGCCTCTGACTATTTTCTCTTCCTTTATTCTATCTCCGCCAATTTTTGCATTAAAAACTCCCATGATAATTGTAATATCTCTTGTGTTCTACCCTTTCTAATGTGTCTTCTAAACTGTCATATAAGTTTTGAATTTCATCTTCCTCTAATGCAGATGTTGGGGCATAGACTTGAATAGAGTCTGACAGTTAGAATTCGGTCGCTGATCGGATTATATCCTAGAAGTGATGAAGAAACTTCTCTTGTTATTAGAAAACCCACCCCGCTCAAACCACTCTTTTCCTTTCCTGAATAAACAAATGTATCTCCTGTTTGAGTCACAAAATGGCCTTGACCCGCCCATCTACGTTCAGAAATTCCTAGTATATCTATTTTATTCCTTTCTAATTCTCTGCCAGCGATGCTAAGTTTTCCCTGATACATGCTCCTAACATTCCATGTTCCTAACTTTAAAGTTTTCCTTAGAGCGGCGGCAGAGTCTGCTGTTGTAGTACCGTCGGGCTTAAGGCCGTCATCACAACTACCCTTACTTGTTTACATCCAGTAGTTTGTCATTGCTCTCTGGACGGTCGGCTGTCGGTACCACAGTTGAAACCATCGCAAGACAAAACGTCCGCAGCAGGGATCGAACCCGGCACCCCGACATAACGAAGCGCGTTCGCAACGCCTTAGCCACAGACGCTGCAATAACATATATAACTTAAAAACCGAAAGTAACTTTCCATAATCTCAACCCAGTTTTTACAACAGTAACGCGATATAAGTAAAGTCCGAAACAACAAAGAAAATGGCGGCATTTGTAAGTTATTTATGAATGATCTATTCAAGGGTATTTGATATTGCAGCAGTTAAACGATGATTATATCACTTTTAAACGAACCATTTAAGCGATTTGTTGGTTACTAGAACCATTATTAATAAATGATAGCGTAAAAGGCTTTTATTAATTCTATCTCGCGTCAACGGCGAAACCATCCATTTAATTTATTGATTCAGACGCAGAATTTAACCTTCGCTTTTTAGTCATAATCTGTTCTGTCTATGGCGAAGAGGCTATAGTATCTTTGTATATAGTTTGAAATCTGTAGGTCTTTTCATGCTTTACTGATCTCTGTTCACTCAAATCGTCCCACTATTTTTTTTTATAGCAGAGACTTCCCAGTTGTTTCCTAAAATAAAAAAAATAAAAAATAAAAATCCTCTTTTTTTTTCATCGTTTACTGTTCGCTTTAAATTCTGGCAGAAAGTTCTAGTTATGACGTCTACCTCTGGACTTTGGTCTTGTTTTGGAACTCGAATTTTTTGTGTGCATTCGTTTTACAGATCTGACTTATCTGTATGCCGACTGTTTGTTCCTCGATGCCTATAAACACCCAAAATTAGTCGCCACTTACGCCTGTTAGCTCAGTGAAGTATTTGTTTGATGGGAGAATAATCTGTGTGCTTCATCAAGCGATTGTTTTCTTCCTGTCTTGCTGTTCTTGTGGTTGTTGGTATTAAGGCATTTATGTCTGATGACCGAACCATTTTATCTGTTGTGGGTGCGTGTGTGTGTGGGTGTGTGTGTTCATCTTTCTCTCTCTCTCTCTTGCTAATATTTCTACTGAAGTATATTTATTCGTAAATATTTATGCTGTGTTCCATTGATCTGTTGACGTATCTGCTGTTCCATTGATCTGTTGACGTATCTGCTGTATTCGTTTGACTTGTTAACGTTTGGGCTGTATTATTTTGATTTGTTAACATTTCTGATATATTACGTTGACTTGTTAACATTTCTGCTATATTACATTGACTTGTTAACATTTCTGCTGTAATATACCACATGTTAGACGGAGAATGTTGTAAAGGTAGCCGGAATTGCGGCTGCGCTTCCATTTGTAGCCGTGGCGGCTGGTTTCAGACTGCGCTTTGTTCAAGCCAAAGAAGCCAACGGTTCTGGAGTCAGACGGGTGTACAGAGTCTGTGACGTATGTATATCACCACCACCACCACCACCATCATCATCATCGTCATCATCATCATCGTCATCGTCATCATCCATCATCATCATCGTCATCATCAACCATCATCGTCATCATCATCATCGTCATTATCATCATCGTCATTATCATCATCGTCATTATCATCATCGTCATTATCATCATCGTCATTATCATCATCGTCGTTATCATAGTCGTCATCATCATCATCATCATCATCATCATCATCATCATCATCATCTTCATCATCACCATCATCATCAACATTGTCATTGTCATCATCATCTATTATCATCATCACCATCATCATTATTATCATCGTCATCATCATCGTCATCATCGCCATCATCATCGTCATTATCATCATCGTCGTTATCATCCATCATCCTCATCGTCATTATCCATCACCATCATCATCATGATCATCATCATCGTCATTATCATCATCGTCATTTTCATCCATCATCCTTATCGTCATCATCATTATCACCATCATCATCATCGTCATTAACATCATCGTCGTTATCATCCATTATCTTCATCGTCATCATCCATCATCATCATCGTCATCATCATCACCACCATCATCATCATCATCCTTGTCATTATCATACTCATCGTCATCATCATTATCATCATTATCATCATCGTCGTCGTCATCATCATCATCCATCTCCCTCATCGTCATCATCAATCATCATTTTTATCATTATTATCATCATTTTCACCCATCATCCTCATCGTCATCATCATCATCGTCATCATCATTATCATCATCATCCTCATCGTCATCATCCATCATCATCATCATCCCCGTCATTATAATCGTCATCATCGTCATTATCATCATCGTCATTTTCATCCATCATCCTCATCATTGGCATTATCATCCTCATCGTCATCATCATCCATCATCATCATCATCATCACCATCATCATTATCATCATTGTCGTCATCAGTACCATCATCGTTATCCTCGACATCATCATCCATCATCCTCATCGTCATCATCCATCATCATTATTATCATCATCATCATCTTCAATTTCACCCATCATCTTCATCGTCATCATCATCATCATCGTCATTATCATCCATCATCGTCATCATCCATCATCATCATCACCACCATCATCATCATCGTCGTGATCATCCATGATCCTCATCGTCATCATCAGCACTAAACAACTCACCATGCGCTTCTTCGTCCATGTCGAAAAAGTACGAACTTGTAGGAGTTTTCCCACTCAAAATTAAAAACCTTATGTATCATAATTATTTTTAAGTCGCTATGGTGTAGCGATTAGACGCTTGCCTGCGGATAGGAAGGTAGAAGGTCGAGTTCTGGCAGAGCCGAGCTTTTTTTTTTTCAATGACCTTGGCTCCCAGGCCGTCCTAGCCTTGAGTGGGTACCAGGTGCAGTCCTTTGAAGTAACTGCAGCCGGCGTAATGCTGACCACATCACCCATTAAATGTTCTATAAAATACAGGTCTAGCCCTATGTGCCCGATACCCCTGAAGGCTGGGAAAGGGGTCCCTTACGCTACTTTTATCATAATTATGAAATTAATTTCTGTCTCGTAATGTCTGTTTTAAACTCTTCGAGACAAAATTATTTACTGCATTCTAGCTCAGTCTATTGCTACTCGCGGCTGCTTGAGACTGAAAGGATTCAGTTCGAAACAACAACAATAATAATGTCATAATAACAATTTTATCATCACTATTATCATCGTCAGCAACCATGACATCAGCATCACCATTATCGTCATTGGCAAAAATAACATCATCATTACCTTTTTCATCACTAACAACAATGATATCATCATAACCATTGTCGTAATCAGCAACAGTGACATCATCATCGCTATTATCGTCATTAGCGACAGTGACATCATCATCGCCATTATCATTATTAACAACCCCCCATGTGGGTTCCGGGGCCCCATTGTGGGGAAAACAAGAATAGACCCACTGCCTCTCCAAAAGCATGTCGTAAGAGTCGACTAATTGGGGGGCTTCCTTTGAAGTCGGAGTGCATCTACCGGAGAGGCAAGGAACCAACAGTCTGTATTCAAGAGAATGAGATCTGTAAAGCTGATGCACACGCAACACTCAGGTTCTGGAGCAGGACTGCAGTTCAGAAGTGGAAGAGCAACCGGAACTTTCCGCCAGAGTGTACAGCTGGTGGTGAACGCGAAGAAGGAAAAGATTATTAGCAACATGATGTTGACCACATCACCCACCGAGTTCCGATTGGTCTATAAAATATAGGTCTAGCCCTATATGCCCAATACGCCTGGAGACATGGAAAAAGGGTCCTTTACTCTACATTATAACCTTAGATATCAGTTTAACCATGGCAATAGCAAAGTACTATATAAAATACTAAATCGACTGACAGGTGACTTTAAATTGCGGGGTGGCTTCGTTAAAAAGGGATGGTACGATGGTACAGTACTTAAATCTGATGTTGACTGAGCACAAGAAAAGATGGACAGAATACTTCAAATAGACCTAGTCATTGAGATTAGGGCGTTGACTGAAGTACGGCCGTCTGGCCTATAAAAAGCTGGAGCCGGCCGTTACTGAAGGATCCGCAAAAAAAAAAAAAAAAAACAAGAAGACATAAAACTAAAAAGCAAAGGAGACGACCAGTAAGGACAGCGGCAGATGAAGGCAGAAAAATAAAACAGGTGTGAACACACATCACAAAGGAAGATTAAACTAAGGGTAAACCACAAAGACACCCGGTCGACCAAATAACCGTCGTTCAGATAGGAGCTGGTAAAACGTCGCCGAAGTATGGAATTTTTGTTTTACACAAACTGGAACTGTGGCTGAAGGTTTACGAGAAAGAGCTGACTAGCTGGCAAGTAATGCACCAATGCAAATGGAGAAAAGCATGGACAGAGCTGATATCATCATCGCCGTACGGATTAGGTTGGGAGATAATGGCGCATTTCTGACGCTAACACGACTTCGTGACTGATAAGTTAAGCTTGGTGAAGCACGACTATGCCATCTTAGAAGTAAAGACAGGAGATACTATAACCAACTCCTCATGGGAACAATACGTAGAGGTACCTTGGAGTGGCTACTGCATCGGAAGACTGAGCACGCATAAGATAACATTACATAACGAGACCAGGACTGCCAATACCTGCCTTTCCCCCCCCCCCCCCCCCCACCAACCAAAGATCTGGGTTTTGTCAGCTTAGGTTGGGTTTAGATAAAGATCCCATTGACAGCCCTGCATGAGACAGATGGTTGTGTATAGATATGACTCTCAGCGACAAGCTTCTGTGACTGAGATGCTAGGACGCACTTCGTAACTCGGGGGGTGCTGGGTTCGATCCCAATAGCAGGCACTTTTGTAACAGACCGTTTTGCGTTGGTTACTGGGTTGAGAACTGACCGTTTAGTAAGCAAAAGTGAATTACCAAACAAACAAATACCTGTCTTCTTCTTCGCGTTCACCAGTTGTAAACTCTGGCAGAAAATTCTGATTGTTCGTCCACTTCAGCCACTGGGTCTATTCTTTTATTGCCCCCTATAACAGAGCCTCGGAACCCAGACGGGGAATATCTGAGACCACAATTAAAGTCAGACAGAGGTCAAGAAGAAGCCCTCACATTCTACAGGCGTGCCTAAAAGGTCATGTGTGGGTTGATGAAAGAAGTCTGGCACCTATGACTAAGTAAGACAGATACAGAGTTGTGGATTGAGAAGTCAGTCATCTGTAGCGCTCGACACTGTATGAAGACATGCTGCGTCTGCTGTTCGGCCGGGTCTCTGCTAACACACAGCTTCAGTCGGTGCATGCGATCATTACCTAGTGAAATCACAAACAGCCACAAACACATACACACGCACGCGCGCGCGCGCGTGAACACACACACACACACAGTGCTTTGGTTATCTTATAAAGGGCAATCAACTAACTTTGTGTTGGGGTGATGTGACTCTGTTCTACCCCTGCCTCCGCCCCCACACCTGGAAGCCTTAGAACAACAGCGGAAGTCCGTGAAATGATCCCCAAACTTCAGAGTTCGATACAAACCACTTCGCCACGGATATCACCAAAAGAGAAAACAACAAAGAAGCATCGTGAAGCTTGGACAGTAACCATATTTATTTATTTTGTCTGTTACTTTGTTCCATTCTCTGGTTTGTCCCATTTAGCTGCCGGCATACTCTGGGGCTGACACGGGAGACTTAAAGTGCGATGGCGGCACCTCTTACCCAAGAAATTCCCTTGAAGCAGGGATTAGCACTGCTCGTCAGACATTACAGGAAGTCTTTGGACAATTTGTGGTTTGATTTTGTTTATATACAAATTGTTTTTACATTACATCCACTAAGTGAGAATGGGTCTATAAAATATAGTAAAGTATATTAACAAATGATCTGCTCAGATGTAATAGACTCACTAAAACAAATGATCTGCTCAGATGTAATAGACTCGCTAAAACAAATGATCTGCTCAGATGTAATAGCCTCACTATAACAAATGATCTGCTCAGATGTAATAGCCTCACTATAACAAAGGATCTGCTCAGATGTAATAGCCTCAATATAACAAAGGATCTGTTCACATGTAATAGCCTCAATATAACAAAGGATCTGCTCAGATGTAATAGACTCACTAAAACAAATGATCTGCTCAGATGTAATAGCCTCACTATAACAGAGGATCTGCTCAGAAGTAACAGCCTCACTTTAACAATCTATCTACCTATCTATCTATCTATCTATCTATCTATCTATCTATCTATCTATCTATCTATCTATCTATCTATCTATCTATCTATCTATCTATCTATCTATCTATCTATCTATCTATCTATCTATCTATCTATCTGTCTGTCTGTCTGTCTGTCTGTCTGTCTGTCTGTCTGTCTGTCTGTCTGTCTGTCTGTCTGTCTGTCTGTCTGTCTGTCTGTCTGTCTGTCTGTCTGTCCGTCCGTCCGTCCGTCCGTCCGTCCGTCCGTCCGTCCGCCCGCCCGCCCGCCCGCCCGCCCGCCCGCCCGTCCGTCCGTCCGTCCGTCCGTCCGTCCGTCTGTCTGTCTGTCTGTCTGTCTGTCTGTCTGTCTGTCTGTCTGTCGTTCTCTGTATGCATGCTTGTGTGTATGTAATGTGTGTGTGTGTGTGCATTTATGTGTGAGTATTTATGTATGCGTGCGTGTAAGTATGCATCTATGTGTATACGTATGCATGTTGGTGGATTTATGAATACATATGTAGCTATGTAAGTATGTGGGTGTATTTAGGTATTTATGCAAGCATGTATGTATGTGTGTAAGAATGTGAGTGTTCGATTGGATGTGTGTATGTACGCATGTATGTGGGTATGTATATGTGTGTGATTGTATGTGAGTGTATATTTGTGATTGTGGGCGTATGTGTGAATGTATGTATATGTGATTGTATATGTGCGTATGCATGCATGCGTAGGTGTATATGTATGGAATAGGTGTGTGCGCACGTATGTCTATGTATGTATATGTGTGTGCGTGCGTGCGTGTGTGCGTGCGTGTGTATGTGTGTGTGTATGTGTCTGTGTGTTTGAATGTGTAAGATTGTGTAAACATGATGTGTGTATGCATTATTCTATAGTGTATATATTTTTTTTAATTAAGTACATAACATGCATTATTGATAACAGACATTGGTACTCTGAAAGATGAGTGCTTAGAAGGACCGAATGTCAGAGGGGCATGCGTGCCAAATTTGTAACCCTTTGAAAAAAAAAAGTTCTTTCGTTCTGTCTGTCTGTCTGTCTGTATGGGAAGACTCGATGTGTCCTGCTAACATTATTTCAATTATTGTGGATTGACTTTTGAACAATTAATTTTTGTTATCAAATAATTGAACACGTTAGTGTCAGAACTCTAAGAGTTTGAATTATGCTTAATCATTTCTTTTTTCGATAACTTGTTATTCTCATAGCATGTTGTTGACAACTCAATGAAAATTACAGCGAAAACTTCAGTGGCCACTTCCATAGGTAATTGTTTATTGTATATTATTTCAGTGTGTGTGCTTCTCCAGTGAATGATATAGAAACAAGTGCTTTCCATTTGTGGTCATATTAGTCTACTCATATTTTGCGTTTTTTTTTTTAGGATGAAATTTCTTTTTTTTTTTTTTTTTAAGCCCTACTCTGGCTCTTGCCAGGGGCCGCAATATAGCCTGGTCATAAATATGGCCTAGAGGCAGAACGTGGTTTCTGGGACCTCTCCACGGTGAACCTCACCCACATGGTGGCACATTGTGTCATCGGGTGTTTATCGCTTGTGTGATGTCCTGGTGGGGTAGAAAGTCAGTCAGTCAGTCATTTGTGGTCTGCAGACCTCCGGAACAAATCTAAAGGGTCCGTGATACTTTTTGAATTACCAAATAGCGCCAATTTTGAGACATCACAATATCAGCATCCACACACAGATACACACACATAAACACCCACACATAAACACACACATATACACACAAATAGCAGCTGATAAATGCGTTGTTTGTGACTAATTTGTGCTATGTCAGATTATATGTATAAAATTTGCGGCTTTTTCTGTTTCTTCTTCTTCTTTTCCCTTCTTCTTCTTCTTCTTCTTCTTCTTCTTCTTCTTCTTCTTCTTCTTCTTCTTCTTCTTCTTCTTCTTCATCTTCTTCTGCTACTTCTTCTTCTTCTGATCCACCTTGCACGTCATCGAAGTGTCAAAGGGGGGATGGGGGGGGGGGAGATGTAATGTTCGCTGATGAGCTCTGTCAAGAGCTCTATTAAGACCTATGTTCATTTCTGTAAGACTGTGCTGCCATCCCTCCATTTTTTTCCGAGGTCTTTCGCTCGCTCTTTACCCATTGTAACGTTTTAGTGTGGCTCGTTGTGGCATGTAGTACCAGGACATTCTTGTTAGGTGTCCAAACCTCCTAATTTGTTGTTCTGTAATGACCTGTATGTGAGACTGGCCTTATTCATAGTATTCGTCTGATTTTGTGATTTCATATTCTGTCTATGATACTACCGGTAAATAATTGCATGGTAATCAAAGAAATGCTAGGGCTCACCACGACCGGCTCCAGCTGACGGGTCATGCCTCTGACGTCACCGGGTCGGGCTTACGATGCGCAAACGCAGCGGTTCTCAAACACGAAATAAACTATTTTCGACAGTGGCGAGGAAAGGCAATTTAAATTGTAACTTTTAAGTATCTACATGCCTTATTAAATAATTTGACACTTTTTAGCCGACTTTTCTTGATCATTACCACTGTACCCTATGGCATACGCTCACGGCACCCCAGGATGCCTCGGCACCCAGTTTGAGAACCGCTGCGTTAATGTCTGATTATTAGCAGGTTGCATGCCAAATTTAAACAACTTAACCGAACGGTTAGTGAGATACAGATTTCCCAATTTTGGCAGGGGGTTGCGTGATCTCGAGGCATGGTGTCCGCCTCGAGTGCTAGAAGTTCCGGGTTCAATCCCCGGTAAGGGCTGGGATTTTTCCCACGTGGAATTGAACCTTTAGTAATTCCTCTTTGTCTCTGGGTAGTGAGATCGGATGCCTGTATATATTATTGCGCACGTTAAAAATCTCTTGGCAGTTGGAAAACTTAAAAACTATCAAACCTAAAATATAGAATGGAATAAACCCACTACTCCTTAGCAAACATGTCGTAACAGTCTACTACAGTTTACATATCTGTAAAACGGATGCACACGCAATACTCAGGTTCTGGAAAAAAACTAAAAGTCCAGAAGTGAACAAACAACCAGAACTTTCCGCCGGAGTTTACAACCGGTGAATGCGAAGATGAAGAATCTACCAGTTAGTGGTGTTTCCTTCGAAGTCGGAATGCACACTGCTGAGAGACAAGGAACCAACAGTGAGCTTACAAAAAAACGGATGTGCACACAGAACTCAAGTTTTGAAATACGACGAAGGGCCAGAGGTGGACGAAGAGCAGAACTTTCTGCCGGGACTTACAGCCAGTGAACACAAACACTTACAAAGACTAAGAAGATAATATTAAATAACCTCAAGTAAGACTTCTTTTTTTTAACTGCATTTTAGAACAACAAAAACGGCAACAACAACAACAACAACAACAGCATTAACAACAAGAAGAAAATATAAATTTGCTGAGGCTCCTGCAGACCACGAGGCCCTAATCTGTAGCTTAGTTGGCTTATGCTTAAATCTAGCACTAGATCCATGGCAGACTTTTCAAATCAGAGAAATCCCTGATATAAATCATCGCCATATAATGTGATAAATCATTGCCATATAATGTGATAAATCATTGCCATATAATGTGTTAAATCATTGCCATATAATGTGATAAATCATTGCAATATAATGTGATAAATCATTGCCATATAATGTGATAAATCATTGCCATATGTGATAGATTCTTTTCTTTCCACCAAATTATGTTCTTGACACCTGGCGACCGTCTTTCCCGTCCATAATGTTCCATTGTCCTATATAAAAGCTTGAGAATCACAACCCATTGCGATGGCGAGTGTGACGAGCAAGACTATCTGGCATAGAGAAATTCTCCCACAATAAGTGCCTGAGATCTGGGATCCATTGTTGCCACTACGTGTATTTGACATGTTTGTTCTCAGACGGTTAGCTTTTAACCTATCTTCTTCTTCTTCTTCGCGTTCACCAGCTGTACACTCTGGCGGAAAGTTCTGGTTGCTCGTCCATTACTGAACTGCAGTCCTGCTCCAGAACCTGAGTGTTGCGTGTGCATCAGTTTTACAGATCTCATTCTCTTGAATACAGACTGTTGGTTCCTGGCCTCCCCGGCAGATGCACTCCGACTTCAAAGGAAGCTCCCCAATTAGTCGACTCTTACGACATGCTTTTGGAGAGACAGTGGGTCTATTCTTGTTTTCCCCACAATGGGACCCCGGAACCCACACGGGGGTTAACCTATCTGTAATCATTTTCTTTTTAGTCCCTATTCATGCAATGCGACCCATGGCATGCCAAAGAATAAAACACATTAAATGATTTCTTACTTTTTGGTTTTGTATTTCGTTAACCTTTATAGATCGGGTTCAGATGGATGCTACTGAGAGATTTGGACGCTAATTTCTGGCTCATAAGAGCCTGGTTTTGTCTTGGCATATTCCCTTTGTGGGTCCTATGGCCCTATTGTGAGGGAGGAAAATAAAATACAACTAATTCTTAAAAAGCATGTCGTAAGAATCGACTAGTTAGGGATGTTTCCTTTGAAATAGGAGTGAATCTGCCTGAGAGGCGAGTAACCAACAGACTGTGTACAAATAAGCCAACTCTGTAAAATGATTGTGCTCGCAAAGCTCTGGTTCTGGAGCAAACTCAAAGTCCAGAACTCGATTTGTCTAAGGTGTCGGATGTAATAGACTCACTATAACAGATGACCTGTTTACGTGTAATAGACTCACTATAACAGATGACCTGTTTACGTGTATTAGACTCACTATAACAAATTATCTGCTCAGATGTAATAGACTCACTATAACAGATTATCTGCTCAGATGTAATAGACTCACTATAACAGATTATCTGCTCACAAATAATAGCTTCACTATAACAAATGATCTGCTCACATGCAACTGCCTAACTATACCACATGATACGCCCACATGTAACTGCCTATACCAAATGATACGACCACATGCAACTGCCTATACCAAATGAAACGCCCACATGCAACTGCCTATACCAAATGATACGCCCACATGCAACTGCCTATACCAAATGATACGACCACATGCAACTGCCTATACCAAATGATACGCCCACATGCAACTGCCTATACCAAATGATACGCAAACATGCAACTGCCTATACCAAATGATACGCCCACATGCAACTGCCTATACCAAATGAAACGCCCACATGCAACTGCCTATACCAAATGATACGCCCACATGCAACTGCCTATACCAAATGATACGCCCACATGCAACTACCTATACCAAATGATACGCCCACATGCAACTGCCTATACCAAATGATACGCCCACATGTAATAGTCTGACTGTAAGCAGATTCATGTCAGCCAAGCTTGTGTCTCTCCCAGCTACATACAGGTACCTGCGAGACAACACAGAAGAGTTGTCTCGGGCTGCTGTAGTGGCAGGCGCCGGCGTCGGTGGATTCTTGTTTGCAAATAAAAGTAAGAGCAGCTTCATGTATTTATTCCAAACATTAATGACTGTTTTCGTCTTATGCTGCATATGAATTCACCACGTATTCTGTATGTGTGTTTTTCGCCACGCATTAATTATCGACTGCACTGTGAAGGTGTGTCGCATGAACGTAAAGCGTTAGACAGAATAATATCGTATAAGGGGTTAGAGAACCTCTGGTTGGCTATTAGACTAAACTGCAGTGTCGCGAAATTATGTTCGTCGACCAAGTGTATCAGTAAGATGACAGTTTTGGAAAGCTCTGATCTAACGAATGAATAAATCAATCGGGTGCTGTCTCCGCACTGAAGATTTGCTGCAGCGGATTTCCAGCACGTCTTTAGCTGTGGGCGTACATTCTCTCAGACTGCTGGTTGTACATTTCTTGAGGTGATCCTCCCACTTGTATCGTTGTCTGCCTCTTGCTCGCTTACCTTCAACTTGTACCTTCAGAATGGTTTAAGAAAATGTCTTTAAATATGGCCGAAATATTTCACGTACCCCTTATTTTGTTCTCCTATTGGCAACTCTCTTTTGCTTTTTTTGTTGTTGTCGATGTTTGCTTTGTGTCGCAGTTCAACAGATCATAGATAGCCGAGGTAGGGGCGCGCTTGGTTGTTTTCTTGCTCTGATGTTGTGGAAGTAGAAGCAGTGACACATAGCATTCTCAAGCCTCAAGGTTATAATTGCCACATATAGAGTTCATCGAGCTCTTATAGTATTTTTTTTTATGTAGTTATTTATTTATGTGCACGTGTTACTAAGCTTTCTCCCCCATTTTTTTTTTTTTTAGTTTAATTATAATATATTTCTTGAAAATTTTTATTTTAAAAAAAAAAACCAAATGGCGTGATTTTTTTTTAATGAGCAGTTTGTACATGTATCGGTATGGAAAAAAGGAAAGGGGTGGGAGGGGGGAGGTGGAGGAGGGGCATAGGTTCTTGACATATACTAGGGGGGAGGGAGGGGGGTTCTGGTATATGCTCAAAGGGGAGCATGAGGTTCTTGAAAAATGCTCAAAGGGGGGGAGGGGGTGGAGGGAGCGTGAGATTCTTGACATATACTCAAGAGTACCATGGAGTTCTTGACAAACAATAATGGGAAGCTTGGCCTGAAAAAGAAGCTAGAGACCACTGATCTAACGAATCGTCTACAGGTAATCCATGGAGAAGATCATTCTACGGATTTATGGCAGCGGTGCCCTGTGCTATCGTGTGCTACCCCAGCAAATTAATGCAGCTGTTCCAACCAGCCAGTGACTACCTCAGAGATGCCTGGGAGAAAGATCTGCGGAACCATCTAGAACAGAAATACAGCCTGGGTGAGTAGATAAGTTACATGTAGAATAGCTCAAGTAAATGCAGCATTTTTCAAAATTAAGAATAGGTTATAGAAACGTTGTTAGGCCCAGAAAGAGAGTGACTTTCCTTGACATTCATGTCTCGTAGTGTTGCAGGGCCTGTCCTATGTTGCAGGGGTATCACGATTAGTGACTGACTAGCAACACTGTTTTAGTTGTTGTTGTTGTCAGCGGCCGGCGATATCCCATGTTCTTTATTCCAGGATGTAAGCCAGGTGGAGCACATAATAAGATAGAAACTGAAACATGATATGACAACTGGACAGATCTGTGGAAAGAAAGAATAAGACAACAATGAAAGATTCTAGACAGCCTTTCCTCATGGCTTAGAAATGCACACTTTTCGTGTAGGAGGACCCCGTTGAGGAAAAAAGAATAGACCCACTGACCCATAAAAAGCATGTCGTAGGGGGCGAATAATTATGGTGTTTCCTTTGAAGTTGGAGTACATTTCCCTGAGAAGTGGGGAACTGATAGTCTGTAAATAGACAGTACATATTTTTTAAACGGATACTCTTGCAAAACTCAAGTTCTAGAATAAGACCAAACTCCAGTAATGGACGAACAAACAGAACATTTTGCCAGAGTTTACAGATAGTGAATGCTAAAAAGTAGAAGGCAAGGAAGAAGGTGAAAAAAGTGGAGGAGGAGGGGGAGGAGGAGGAGGAGAAAAAGAAGAAGAAGAAGGAGGAGGAGGAGGAGGAGAAGAAGAAGAAGAAGAAGAAGAAGAAGAAGAAGAAGAAGAAGAAGAAGAAGAAGAAGAAGAAGAAGAAGAAGAAGAAGAAGAAGAAGGCACACAAAATGATATATGTTGTTGGAGATTGAAAGAGAGGAATAGCCTGCTAGAGGAAGACAACATTACAATGTTGATGAACACCATTTAAGCCAGTCCTGATGTATGGAAGTTAATCATGGACAGTCCGTACATTTGTGAAAAAATATGTGAAAACTGGGGAGATGGGGTTTATTTAGAAGAATGATGAGAACATCGTGGACAGATAAAAAATATCATGAAGATGCCTTGAAAGAAATTAATTAAAAGAAAAAGTTATACTCATCAGAAACACAACCTCCATTGTTTTGCGAACGTATCAAACCAAACGAGGTATAGGACTACTACGTTCCCATTATCACAATCACAAACGTTGCGACTATAAAGCCTTCATCGGCATATATCATACATGTGCGACACAGTTACAAACAGGGATATACAAACTTACTTAACTCTGAGTTTAGGTCTCTCCTAGAAGCCCTCATTGACAGTAGAAGCTGCCAGTCAGTCACACGGATAACTGGAGGATTGTATTGAACAAGAGGACCCTTGGCAGGTTATGCCAAGGACCTTAGGGGCAAGTGATGATGAAGGGAAATTTAGAGTATCGCGATAAAGAAAGACGGGAGTGTTATACAAGGGGAAACCGAGAGAGAGAGAGAGAGGGGAGGGGGGGGGGGAGAGAGAGAGAGAGAGAGATTGTTAGAGTGATAATGCAAGAAAGTAGATTAGAAATTATTGGAAAATGTTTCAAGAATTATAGACAGGGTGGGGCGCATGAAAGGTCCTAGGCCGGAAGGTTCAGGGGCCTGAGAACAGGAGACATAATGACTTTGTGTTGATGTTTGGTGATGCTAATATTGGCTATTTATTCTGTTCTACATTTACAGGTGAACAGTGGCAAGTCGGCAAGGTAAGTAGCTCAAGATTGGACAAATACAGTATGTGCAATAATGTAAATACACAATGAGAGTAAGGACGTCTTTCATACCTAGATATAGAATGTGGAGGTGCAGATATGGCTAAGACAGTTACACATACTTTGTGAGAACACAGTTTATAAATGGTGAAAAAGCTATGTTGGCATAGTGTATGACAACCTTTGATTTAGAGTCAAAGTAAATATGAATAACCGAAGATTCAGCTCACTATACAAGTTTTTCTTCTACTGATAATCTATTTACAGGGTTGTACGTCGCTCGCTGCCGTGGTTTTCTTAATTTGGCTTGAGCTTCTTCAGTGGTCTGAGTGATGCACTTCTTTGCTTTTTGTTAATAGAAAGTTTCATATACAGCTTGTTTTGACCACATTCTCTGAAGGCCATATTATATCCTTCTTTGTCTTTCAATGTAATTCAGACAAGATTTTTTTTCAGCCTTTTCGCTAGGTTTTGATCAATGGATCAACATCATGGCACACGGGTAGTAACCCATAAGTGCTCCGTTTTTCTTCTAACTCCAGTCTGAGTCCGAAGAAGCTCAGCACAGTGCACTGGCAAGGATCCTGAAATACTTTCGATTGGCTGCGGGAAGACTCTGAAAACGTGCATTAAGCACAGAGAAGCCCCGAATCAGAACGGAGATTCATGACCCTGTCTCTTCTTGTGATTTTGATAAGTCAAAGTTTTCAATCATTTTAACTTGTTCAAGAAAACATGCATAACTGTAAATCTCCCTGGTATGCAAAGGCGTGCTGCTGTATATATCATTAACTAACTCCAACATAAATTGTGACTAGAAAGTTCGACAGAGGGAATGAAAAAGACTCTCACAAATACAATCGAACATTTCGACCAGTTGAACACATCATCCACAGAAGGACAGTTAATCTACAGAATGTATGTTTGATGATTGTAGACTTTTTAAAATCAATTATTTGCACAGGATAATTAAATTTGTGTATTGCGTCATGTTTCAAGTGTCACGTACCTGTTAGTTTAGAATATCATTGCTATATACCAGTGTTTTAGTAATTGATCTTAGCTACGATGGGACGTCAATAAGTAGGTCACAAATGGTTATAAGATGGCAGGACAATTTAGTTGGTCTTTTCTAACAGTGTCATATGAAAAAGTGAAATATCTATAATATGTATATGGCTTCAAGGGTTCCCCCTTGGTTTTTTTGTGTGTGAATGACATGTAACACAATGGAACATACCGATCAAATCTCTTTATTAAATTTTCGTGCATTCTAGACAAAGCAATACTGTCTGCTTTGTTTGTAAAGTGTTGCTAAGTTTGTTATTCGACCTATGCTTTGTTAATATAAACTTCTGTAACCTATGGTGCCATTTCAGTTGTTTGAAATGAACTATGTCCGCATTCCCAGTGTTGGTGAAAATTATGTTGAAAAATAAAGGGACAGTGTGTGTGCAAAAACAAACGGTTTTCAAGTTAGCATCTTTCGGTTTTTTTTTTAATTTTAAACTTTTTGTGACTTACTTTTTGACTTCCCCTTTATATTAGAGTAATATCTATTGAAGAATGAGTATTTCTAGTTAAGCATGTGTTCTGTAAAAACTTAATGGTGCCAGGTAGTCGAATGTGGTTGTTCAAAAAGTTATGATGTCAGTTGCTGATACTCAAGTGCCTCATCCTAATACTGTAATCATGCAGTCAATTGAATCGATTGTCAGTAGAGCTGTTATGTGGAAAACAGTTCCCACAATTTACGTTTATGTTTATTCCCCCAATCAACATCATGGCGAACAGGTGTAACCCATTAGTGCTCCATTCTACTTCTAACTGAAGCCTGAGTCTGAAGAATCTCAGCGCAGTGCATGAACTCCAACCACCAGTGAGAATCCTTAAATACTTAGGGTAGATTTTTTAACTAAAAATTTTGCCCGGGCAGCGCGTTTAGGCTACTCTTTTTTTTTATTTCCAACTGCCACGGTATTTTTTGCGTACGCAAAAATACACTCGGGTGTCCGGTCTTACTACTAGAGCGTTGGGTATATTACTAGAAGTCGGCGTGAACAAATCCCAGCCCTCACCGGGTTTGAACCCGGGACCTCCAGCACTCGAGGTGGATGCTATACCTTAAGACCACTCAGCCCCTAGTAGTAACCAAAATAAGACACAATAAAGCAATTTATATATATATATATATTACCCTGCTGTCCCAGCTGAGATAAAAAGACAAATTATAAATACAATCTTTATACCGACATTAGGTTATCAATGTCAGACTTGGACATTAACAAAAGAACACGAGAGAAGACTAACCACCTGTGAAATGAGATGTTTGAGAATGGCTGCGAATAAAACCAGAAGAGATAGAGTGAGAAACGATTTGATTACAAGAACTATTGGAACCATACCCATCATTAAATTTATTGAGAAGCAAAGAATGAAATGGTTTGGTCACCTAATGAGAATGGAACCAACGATGCCAGCATCAAGAGCTTACAACATGAAAATCGAAACACCAAGAGGCAGGGGAAGACCAAGAAGAAGATGGATTGAAGGAGTCACGGACAACTTGAGACTTCATAACATCACGGCATATGAAGCGACTGAGCGCGCCCTGGCTCGGTTGCCGATCATCTGATAGACTGCGACGCCTAGCGGCACAAGCAGATTTTGACAAAAGAAGAAGAAGATATATATATATATATTGCATTAAACAACAGATGGTGATTAATTTAATGTGAACGGCCAAGTTATTAAAAAAAAAATAGTAATTAAAAGGCCTACAGTCTGTATACAAGTGCTGGGGTCTACTGGCATAAAAAAAGGGTCTTTTACTTCCTTACTGTAAGTTTCAATGAACTGTGTTTTTGACCCCAAACATATATTTATAGATTCCAAGGCTTCAAACAAGCGACAACTTTGATACCATCAGTCTATCAGACTTCTATGAACCAGACACTGAGAAATTGAGAACCATTGATCTTTGCCGCGCAGATACCGTTCAGCAGCAGGTCAGCACAGCTGAACTGTGTCATGCAGAAACAATCAGCACAGTTGACAACGTTGACAAGCTCAGCACAGGTGACTTTAACACCGGAGAACTTGTGGAAAAGCCCAACACAGACGTCGCTTTGATTGAAGAACAAGTGGGAAAACTGAACACAGGTGATTTGATCACTACAGAACATGCGGACAACCCGAGCACAGGTGATTTGATCACTGCAGAACATGCGGACAACCCGAGCACAGGTGATTTGATCACTGCAGAACATGCGGACAACCTAAGCACAAGAGACTTTTCTACTGTAAAACATGTAGAGATGCAAAGCACAGGCAACTGTTCTACTAGAGAACAGGCTGAAAACCTGAGCACAGGCGACTTTTCTCCTACAGAACATGTGGAAATGCCCAGCTCAGCTGATATCAGCAATGCAGGAATCACAGAAAAGCTTGCTGAAGTTGACGTTGCAAAAAACATTGAAAAGCCTAGTTCTGAGGACTGCAATGCTCAAGTTTTAGGTGAGCTTAGCCACGAGTACGGTAATGCAGAAGGCAAACAGAAACACTGGATGGTAGAAAATTGTTGTTTGAAAGATACGGAGAAGACAGCTAAAGGAAGCACTGACCAGTCAAATCCCGATGATAAAGACATGTACAGCACCCGGTCATCATAAACACACACAAAAATCATAATAATGCAAGAACATGGATATGATCATCTGATAAGCTTCTCTAACACTGTTATTTTATTTCTTCTTTTGCTTACATTTTTCTGAGCTACATATCTACAGAATTTTGTTTAACAATTTCATTTTTGCTAGGAGGCAATATGTGTCTCCTTTTATACATTTCTGTTACAAATATTATTTTGTTTTTTAAAATAAGTGATAAAACTATGTGGGGTGCGAATGTGTTTCTTTTTCCTCGTTTGCCTTTTAAAGGGTGGTCGGCGATTTGTGTTGTGGTTTACAGCTAGGCTGCCACATCTGCACCTTCCGGCCCAACACATTCAATTTCAACAAATTCCCAATTAGTTGTCTCTAACATCATGCTTTTCATCAGAGGCAGTGAACTAAATAATTTTGCTTAAAAATGGGGCCCCGGAACCCACACGGGAAAATACATTTCGTGTGATTACTGTGGGTAATTCCCCCCCCCCCCCAGTGATAGACTACGCTATGTGTGAACATAAAAAATTTAAACGGTGAACTGTATGAGCGCAGTGTGTTTATATATATATATTTACGATAAATATTATTTTATATGTAAACATCAAGTTTTATTCTTAAGGTCTATGCTGTGCAGTGTTGGTAATCATGTCTTTCCACATCCTCTAATTATTTCTGATGTAGAGGATCTTCCACGCTATGCTGTGAAAATGTCCAACATCTTCTCTCTCAGTCTACCTCTGCCACCTTTCCCATTATTGAAAAGCATCAATTTATGAATGTTTGTATCTTCTTTTTTTCCTGTTAACTCCGACGGAATTTTCTGGTTTTTCGTCCACTTCTGGACTTTATTCTTGTTCCAGAACCTGAGTGTTGCATGCATTACCGTGTTACAGATCTAGCTAATCTGTGTACAGACTGCTTCTTTGCCTCTCAGGCAGAGGCGCTCTGACTTCAAAGGAAACTCCCAGTTAGTCGACTCTTACGACTTGCCTTTTGGGGAGACCGACTTGCCTTTTGGGGAGACCGTGGGTTTATTCTTCCCCACAATGGGGCCTGAAACCCAAAAGGTGAGAATATTTTTGCTCTGGTAAACTACAAAGGGGTGCCACCACAAAGAAAACACTGGGATGGGGATGTGTATGAGCTCCCCTATAATTTTATAGGTGGTGGGGGCGATCAAAGGAATCAGGCCTTACTTAAGTGTGTAGTAATGATAAATGTGTACTGAATGACAAGTAAATATATTTGAAACAATAGGAAATGTATAAACAGATTCTATAAAAAAGGGAGTTTCTATTCATGGTTAGGGGGTCATTTAACCATCCTTCAGTTTTCTAGGCAAAACACAAATAGAGGCCTTTGCACACCCCTGAAAATTACTAGTGGGGAGAGGGGCTAAGAAATATTCAACAAGGTCTGGCTCAAAATTGAGCCTTCAGGTTTCAGTGCAAGTAGAATTATGTGAGATATAAAATGTTTAATACATAGTGCTGTCTTTAAATTATAAACAGTGAGTATACTGTGCATATATTTTACCTGAATGTGCATATAATAATACATTTTATTTTCAGTTAATTAATTTATAAAGATAATGTTCAATTACTGTTTTATTGAGAAGTTTTTTCTGTGTTTTGTTCTGTTTTATTAGAGGTCAGAATTACATACCCAGGTGTGATGACATTTGTTGAACAAACTACAGCATTTAACTAATGGTAAAAAAATTTTTTAAATTTTAAACACGGACAAATCACCAAACTTTATTTTCAAAAGGTCGCAAACTGGGCATCCCAGACACTCACCTTTCCTACTACAATCATCTTTTATCTTTAAAGCGCGTTACGTTCATGTAACAATATACATAATATGAGTGTCACGTAAAATTAAAAAAACACTGATGGTAAATGTATACATTCAAATATACATAACAAACTAAACACGCACACATACGTACATAACATATACAGGCATACTCACATACATTTACAAAAATATGCAAACATACATACATGCATAAATACATACATGCATAAATATGTGTGTACTGGCACATTTACGTCTTTCCAGACGATAGTTTTACATTACGCTATGAGAAGGTGTGGGACTCACAGCCCATGGCAATAGCGAGTGTGACTAGCAAGATCAGTCCGACTTTGGAAAATGTATACCTACAAACTCACACATTTATAAACAGACTCTCCTACATAAACTTATACTCACACATACAAACAAATACCACTCATAAATACCCATACCTATACCCCCCTACACACACATATACGCATACACACACTCACTGACACCCATCATACTCATTCATATACACACTCTCTTACAGACATGTTTACACTAAAAATAAAAATAAGCAATATCTAAGCATTCTCTCTCTCTCTCCCACTCCCTTCCCCCTAACATACATGCACACACTCGTGCTCTCACACCACGCACATACAAAATAAATCACAAAGCAGAAATATTAACAAAACTTAGGCATTATTTATAATACAAACCATGTTTTAAATTTTAAAAAACCAAACAGCATTAAACATAAAAGCCACCAACCAAAAACAAAACCAATTATATGAGGCAATGATTTCGTACACGTTATATTTCTAATTTTGTTTATTTCATACTGTGCACGTGACCAAAAAAAATGTTATCACAGAAAGTAAGTAGTCAGACTTAAAACCTGCAGCAGAATTACTGCTCAGTAAAAGTAAAAAGTCTGTGTCTTAGGCGTTGTGAATGCGCTTCATAATGCCAGGGTGCTGGGTTTGATCCCAGACGCAGGCCTTGCACTGGTTTCGGTGTTGGTATCGAAAAGCCGACTGTCCAGAAAGCAACGGCAAAACTACTGGACGTAAACTTGCCTAGAAAAACCACAACAGCCAAACAAAAATGCTGGGGTTGGTTTTGCAACGTCCTGTAAAGGATACGCAACTGACAAAAGTAAAAAGATATGTCTCTATGTGAGGTTTGTTTAAAGATTTTTATTCTATTACTCCAGAAATATTTTAATTTTTTTATTTTTTGAACATAAACCTGTCTTTGCTAGGAAACTATATCTGCAGGCAACGGGAAAGTACACTCTAGTTAGCAGTGAGCTATAGAGAAACTGAAACTAGCCCATTGCAGTCCTTCTGGGTGGGGAGTGGAGAGGGATAAAAAAAGAAAGCAACTGGAGAGTGGAAACGTAAACAAACTCAACAGGAAGGAACAAACATGAACTGCTAGGCTCCAGACAGGACGCTGCAGTCTACAAAAACATAAATGAGCCAGACACTTAAGAGCCTGACCAAGAGTGCTTTACTACAAGACAAGCTGCTGAGTGACAGGTGGCAACTTTGGATGCACACTCCTGCTGCCTGTGACCCAAACAGGACTGAATGATTATCATGGGCGATGCTGAAAGCAGAAAAAAAAAACTAGCCGTGTTGTGTGGGAAAACTTGCCAGTTTATCTATGTTCCCCATTATGATTTCTTTTTGAAATCCACGTCCTATGTTTCAGTTGAAGGCGAAGGCCAAGAGAATAGAAATCATTAACTGGCAAAATTTAAGGATGGGTGAGCTATAGGACTGTAGTGGTCTGAATGGTATCGAAGCATGGAGTCCTTCTTGAGTGCTGGAGGTTCTGGGTTCAGGCCCTGGCGAAAGCTGGGATTTTTCATGTGGACTTTCAGTAATTTCTACTGGCCTCTGTGTAGTAAGATCGGAGGCCCATGTTCATTGTTGCACATGTAAAAAAAAAAAAGAAATCCCTTCAGGATCCTCGCCGGTGATATGGAGTTTGTGCACTGCGCTGAGATTCTTTTGACTCCAGCTTGAGTTAGAAGCAGAACGGAGCACCTATGGGGGACCACCCTTGTGCCATAATGTTGATCCGGTGTTTGAACTTAAACCTAAAAGGACTGTAGACAGGCTTCCTGAAGACCAGCAGCAGAGGAAGCCATCAACAATAGGTCCCTACATTTGGACAGAGATTAAACCAGTGAACTGTGACTGACTAAGAAAGAAACCTAACAGAAGGGGGGAAGGGGAATAATGTATACACACAAGAAAAACTGGACTCTGTATTAGTTCGACTGCAGACACCACTGTTTTTAATTACCTTTTGGGTTTATATTATCACACCTACTGATAGTTTTATTTATTACCCCAGCCTGAGCATAATGGAAGAAATAACAATGTATGACAGATTCACTAACATGGAACACTGGAAGAAATCTAAACAAATTCAGGACAGTCAATCAGTGAGGAAAATACAAAAACTTCACATCATAAGGGGTGAAGTCAGACATGAGTAGTATGCAGGAAGCCAAAGAGGAATAGTAACCAACACAGAACTAGTGTCGTCGTCAGTGAAGAAAAGACTGAGGAGTATGCTCAAAAAAGAGTCGGATCTGGTCTGAAGATCATGATTGCAGACTGTGAGGCGGTCACTCATGACAAAAATTAGTTTCATTTTCCTGCCACAGCAAGCAGGTGTAAAAGGAAATGAATAATGATTTCATAATGCAGGTAAGGCTACTGAGGAGAGCGGACGAGCAACGGACCAGGCTGATATACTGAATGCTTTATGAGAAGACATTTGACAGAATCAGCTGATGACTGGTGTTAACAGCCGCTACACTCTGCATGATTTACTGAGCAGGGAATCTACACACTTATGGACTGAATAGTTCGATATGGATTGATGATATTGATCCACTATTATTGTAGAAAGTATTTCATCAGTCAAATTATAGTGACTGCATCCAGAGTTCACTCCAGATAACTTCATACAAATCATCAGGGGTTGAAGAAGTTTCATGATAGAAGCACTGTAAATCAAAGATTTCACTGTAATCTATTACTACAAACGAGGTGCTATGAGGGAAGCATCAACAATCACAGATTTTATTGTATTACCACAGCATGAGGAAATGATTAACAATAAAAGATTACACTAATCTATTGCCACAGCAGGAGAGGTGACAGGAAGGAATTAATAATAATGAAAGATGGTAACGAGGTGTGCCACGAGGGAAGCAACAACAATGATTTCACTGTAATCTATTACAATACCTAAATAATAGTATTGCCTCGACAGAATCATCAACAATAAAAACTTTCACTGTAATCTATTACCTGCATGAGGGTTTTTAGAATTGAAGCATTAACAATCAAACCTTTCATTGCAAATTACCAACATGAAAGTGTCGTAATAGAAGCATTAACAATAAAATCTTTCATTGCAATTTGTTACCAACATAAAGGTGCCATAATAGAGTTGAGTTTTAAAAAAATGACAGCACAGCATTCAGGGCTTTCCCATATGCGTTCTGTCCCCATCCTCAGCAGCCAGCACAGAGTTCCAATACTCAAGGTGCCAGTCTTAGTCTGGTTGTATGTCTATCTTGCCTTTCCTCTAAGCATAGTGTGCTGGCCGAACCCTCTGGTCACACCCAGGTGCATCATTCTCTCCAACCCATAATAATCTAGTTTCTCTTCTGACTTCGTTACTTGTTCTCAAAGAGCTCTGACCACATCTGCTTTGTCATGCATCAATTCACCATAATAGAAGCATTACAACCAAGAGTCTGTAAGAGTTGTCCATTAACAGAAATAAGTATAAAAACAGGAATACCATTTGTTATTTTATATTATCATTCAGGGTTTGTCGATGCCGTTTTTTTTTCAATAGCTCCTGCATATTAACAACAAAATATAAGGTTCTGGCATTTCTTTTGTAAACATTTTCCATTTGTGAAGATTTGTATTTGCTGGCCCATTGCAGATATCAATTTGCAGTCTCTGTTTTAAGCCTGATGAAGAGAATATGGGAAAGAACACAAATAGTCTACATCCACATTAATTCAAACTATACATTCTTACCCATTATTCGTTATCAGCGTATGATTTAAAGTTGTTACAATTTCATTAAACAACCAATATAGAATTGATTTCATCAGTCATTTCACACTGCAGAAAAAAACTGAGAAAAGGATCTTATGGACTGAACATTTTTTTAAAGAAAAAGAAATTGTCTGCCAAAGTATTTCAGTTTCCAAGACATCCTGTTTATAAAAATGTTTTCTATGATGCAGAAATAGCATTATTATCATCAACATCATCATCAACTCCTTCAGTACAAAACAACTCCCCATGCGTTTCTTGGTTATTGGTGGGGGGAAAAAAAACAACATTTTTGGTGTTTTCTACCTCAAAGGTTGTATTAACCCTCTGCATCATAATTATTGGGAGTCGGTGTTGTGTAGTAGCTAGACCCTCACCTGCAGATCTGAAGGTTGTGGGTTCGGGTCCTGACAGAGCTGGACTTTTTTATTTCCTTTTAAAAATGACCTTGGCTGCCAGGTATACCCAGTCTTGAGTGGGTACCAGGTAGTCCTGGGAAGTAAAGGCATCCCGCCTGATGCTGACCCCACCACCCACTGGATGCTGATTGGTTTATAAAATATAAGTCTAGCCCTATATGCTTAATGGCGTGGGAAAAGGTCCTTTATGTTGCTTTTTTCTTTTTATGATGCAGGAATATTGAAGATTTAAAGACATCCTGCTGTTTATAAAAAGATTTTCTTGAATGCAGAAAAATTTCAGTTTTTCAGACATCATTGTCTCAGTGTCCAAGATAGTACCAGTATTTAAGAACAAACAGTATAAACACAAATAAAAGAATACCAGTATTTAAGACTAAACAGTACATACACAAGTAAATCAATACTAGTATTTAGGTACAAACAGTATAAACACAAGGTAAAGAATACCAGGATTTAAGACCAAACAGTTTAAACACAAGCAAAAGAATACCAAAATTTAGGTAGCAACAGTACCATAAGTGAAAGAATACCAGCATTGAAGTCCAAACAGTACAAACACAAAAGTACCAGGACAGTTACCCATTAGAGATGTTTTGACAAGCTGTTCATCAAAGATTCAATCTCTTCCTTCTTCTCAAGTTTGCTTTTCTGTGGCAGATATCACAAATAAACTGATTAGTTCTCATTTGTGAACAACAACTTAAAAAGATGATCAAAGAGACAAGCAACAATCTATTTTATTCGAATAATAGGTAATACGGCTCCACTTAACCGTTTTCAGCCCAATAATATCTTCTTCATTTGTCTATGTGACATATCATATTTTCCATGTATTAGACTACCCCCACTTTTTTAAGAACAAAATTAGGACATAAATTTTGTAATCACATTCTGCATATCATAGTCCTCAATTTTAAAAACTTACAAAATTTGGGAAACCATATCATCTTAATAAAAAAAAATAAAAAAATGGTAACTGCGTTGTGCCTGTTTACAACGAAGGTGCAGTATTTGCGATTTTCGGCTGACATGTCTGACTTCATCAGGTGTTTATTATCCAAGTTAGCCTGACAGGTTAGTTTCATGGAACACTACACAGCCCCACTGCTGTACTGCCATCTTTGCTTTCTGGTCCACTTGGTTTCCCACAGTGGACCCAGCTAGGGCAATCGCTTGCATCCTGGTCGTCATTACAAGGAAAGGCAGCAGAACATTGCCTGCTATTTAAGGAGGCTTCCGTGAAGAATCATGACAATTCTGTCAGAGGAAGCCGATTATGTCAGCCTCTCTCCTGCTGAGTTGAGCCAAGAATTGACATCACAGCACTCGGGGCTATCCCATGCATGCTCCATCCTCATCTTCAGCAACCAGTGCAGAATTCCAAAACTGATGGTACTGGTCAAAATCTGGTTATATGTCCGTCTTGCTGTTTCCCTGAGTGTAGTGAGCCGGCCAGACCCTCTGGTTACACCCAGTTGCCTTATTCTTTCCATGCCATAATATCCTCTCTCCTGATGTCTGTGTAGTGAATTTGAAATCTACTGAGCTTTTTCTCAGGTAAAGACGAATAATAAGAGATCCTTTGGCCACAATGTGGCTAAAAATTCTCTCAGTGGTTGGGATTTTCACAAGGGCTGAAAGTTCGGCTACCATCTTAGCAAAATGCCAACTGTCTAGATAACCTACCCATAACAGAATCTGTCTGTCTGTCTGTATGTCTGTCTGTGTGTGTGTGTGTGTGTGTGTGTTTGTGTGTGTGTGTGTGTGTGGGGGGGGGGGGGGTTCTGGTACATCAGCTTAAGATCATTGTTAGCATTGTGCAGTCTATGAACTGTGCTCCAAAACCCCTATAGTAATCTCTGGAAGAAAACTGCATGATTTACATTAAACATAAACTCAACAAAATAAAAACCATCTACCAGTGATTTCCATTTAACATAAACTAAACAAAATGAAAATCATCTACCAGTGATTTACATTAAACATAAACTCAACAAAATGAAAACCATCTACCAGTGATTTACATTAAACATAAACTAAACAAAATTAAAACCATCTACCTGTGATTTACATTAAAAATAAAATCATCTACTAGTGATTTACACTAAAAACTCAACAAAATGAAAATTATCTACCAGTGATTTACATTTAAAAAGTCAACAAAATGAAAATCATCTACCAGTGATTTACATTAAAAAACTCAACAAAATGAAAATCCTCTACCAGTGATTTACATTAACTATAAACTCAACAAAATGTAACACAAACACCAGTCACCTCTTCTTCGTTCAGTGGTATCCCTGCTGCTAACTTCTCCTCTAAGATGGCCAACTGCCTCAACTTCTTCCTCAGCTTACGTTGAGCCCTCTGAAAAGTTTCATTCTAGAATTAATGAGAAAACAACAGTTGGTGAAGCAAACCAAATGAACTCTAGAAGCAGAAAGGAGGCTGACATGCAAAACAATTAGTTTTTTAAAAGAAAGTTTAAGGGTAAAAGAGGCCATACTGCACTTTGGATGAAGTGTCTGGCTTCACATAGTCTGTTAAGTGAAGATCCCTACGAGGCTTCCATAGGTGCCAGAATGGTGGGGGGGGGGGGGGGGGTAACACTGCCCCTGTCCCAGCTACAAGCATATCTTTAAAGGTGACCAATTAAGGGTTTGCTGAAATCAGATGCTTTCAGCTGAAAGGTACAGACATCGTAGTTATAAACTACGTCACAACCAAGTCAAGCAAATGACACTTTTGATGCCCATCCAGCATATGATGATGTTACACATTTTCTTTAGCTAATCAGCATTCAAGGGTGATTGGTCAACATCATACCGGCCGCCTTTACTTTCCAGGACATTACCTGGGACACAGTTTGTAGACTGGGTTGACCTGGAAACCAAGTGTTGACACATTCAAGTTTTGAATACAACCAGAAACCAGTGTTGTAAGTTAACTACATTCTGAAAACAAATTGTGCGCCGTCTCCATAATGAAAGCAGCCACTCGCCTGCGGATCCTATAGTCCTGGATTCAGGTCATGATGGAGCCAGACTTTTTTCTTCGGAAATGACCTTGGCTCCCAGGTCAAGTCAACCATAAACAGGCATCAGGTAAAACCCTGGGAGGTAAAGGTGGCCAGCAAGATGTTGACCACTACACTCACCGAGTAGTGCTGATTGGTCAATACAATACAGGTCGAGCCATATTTGCCCCATACGACTCAAAGTGTGGATAAAAAGACTTTTTTTTTTTAAAAGTCATCATGAAGGCCGGTTGCAGTGCACCCATGGTCATGGTTGAATATATTATATAATGATGCCTCTAATCTCTACCATGGTGTGATTCTCGTACAACTGTCCAAAAGCCGCAAGAACGACCTTTTTTTTCTTTTTTTTTAAGAAGTAGAACCATTTACCATGAAATATAAAACCCTGGTACATCTAGTATTGCCAAATTGTGAATGGCTTTCACTTGCCTCTAAGCCTTAGAGCTAAACAACTATAAATATACCAGGGCTATTCAACTGGTGGCCAGTGAGATGAATCAGGCCCGCAGAGGCCTAACAAGTGGCTTGCAGATCACTGACAGTTGTATTGATGATCTTTCTATGCTGGGAATCGGGCCCATGATGGTCCCTATTTTTACAATTTCAGTCCCTGGGTAAGCTCAGTTGAACAGCCCTGAAATTTACTTACTTACTTAGTCCCTCTTTTTATACCTTGGGGTGTAGAGGTTTGCCAGAGAGATCACCAGACTTCTTTATTAGCAGTTTTCTTTCTGGCTTTGTTCCATTCCAGTCCTCTGTCAGGGACTGTCAGATGTTGTCTTCCCAGCACACCCTGGAGGTCTGGTTCCCTGGTTCTTAGCCTCCCATAGTGGCCGATTTTCTCACATTCTGCATACATGTTCAAACCATCGTAACTGTGACTGGTCCACTTGGGTTTGTAGGGACTGGGTATCAAGATCCTGACGTACTGTCTGATTGCAGACTTTGTCCCTTCTTGTCACTTGGACCACCTTTCTCAGATATCTCATTTTTGAGGCCTGAAGCTGGCTACTGTGAGCTGTTGTGACTGCCCATGACTCACACCTATAGGTCGGGACTGGCACACAGGTAGAGCGGTAAACAGCCATTTTCATCCTCTTGCTAAGAACCCCTGGGTTAATGGCCTGCAAGAGTCTCCCAGCAGCTGCTTTTCATGTAGCCAGCTCGGTCTTAATGCCTCCATTTCAGTCTAATACAACTCCAAGGTATTTGAACTGGTTGACCTGCTCCAATGCATACTGTCCCATCATGATCTTTTGTTTCTACTCCTGCCCTGACATACATAATTAATAAAATGTTTATTCTAAGTTTAAGCAGCAACCCTCTTATGGACAAATCTTTATTTGGTGTAAAACTGAAATATTATCATTATGAATAATGTGTATTTAAATTTACTCTTCTGAATAATGTCTGTCTGATAACACAAATAATCTCCAGAAGAATTTGAAAACAAATGAAAGAAACAGAGAATCAGGACTTACTATTGCATCGTCCGCATCTGCAAAATCTGAAAGACAAAACACTGGAATTTTAACTGGTAGAATTACAATTTTTGTCTTGAAATAATTAGGAATGTCATATGCCTGACTGGCACAATTTTTAACATCAACCAATTTTAACCATAATTATATATTCAATGCATGTTATTAGACTTAATTTTAAAATAGATAACCTGCATGTTACAAACCTTCGTTCCCTGGCAACCCCACCTAACACAGGTATTAGGTAATATCCTGGGAAGAAAAGGTGGCTGGACTGATGCTGACTCCATCATCTAGCCTCAAGTGTCAGTCAGTCTACAAACATATAATCTTACCATCATATGCCGGATGGATCACAGACATAAAAAGGGTCTTACATATAGCCCGTAGTGATAAATGCTGTCTCTAGCCCCCCCCCCCCCCCCCCCCCCACCCCCACAAAAGAAAACAGTTGAAGTTAACACATTCTGAGAATTTTAGGACAGTGCATTCTGAAGCATTTTCTGAGAGCGTGTTTAGATATCCTTATCATCACCATCATCATCACAAACTCATACAACAGTGCATGTCTTTGGGTCATCGGCTGCTGCTGTTTAATGAGCTTCCTCCACCTGTCGATCAGATGCAAAGTAGTTTTTATGTCTGCATGCACGGTGAGATTTAGACCTGATGAGGCCTTAAGCTATATAAAGCCATGAGGTCCCTAATGTTTTCAATTATTCCAGCTAACCTCAGAAACCCTTAAAATGTATACAACTTATAAATACAGAGAAGCCGGAAAAAAAAAACTGCTGAAAGAGAAATCTGGCAATCCTCTACTTCCCAAGGTAAGAAAAAGAACGACTAAGTAAGTAAGTTAAAAACAGGGATAAAGAAAATATATTGTTCCATTTTTATTAAAAGAAATAATAAAGAATGTGTTCGCAAAATCACATAAATTATATTATTTAATTCTCTAAAAGGCTTCAAGTTACAACTTTAAATTGTTCTTTTTCCTTGGTTTCCCAAACAGAGAACAGCTGATTATATAATCAATATATATAATGCGTAACATGCCGCTTTCAATATACACGATTGGAATGAACCTTGGCTTTCAACGGCACTTTAAATGTACCTAGACTTACGACGTATCGGCTTTCGCCACGGTTCAACTCTATATGATTACTGCAACATATCTACTTACACTGCTCTAACGTCTAGGGCTGATAACACAAACACCGCTCAGTTTCCTTGTACATGCTATCAGTTTATTTTGTTACATTTATTCAACATGCTCCAACAATTATTCACACTTCCATCGCCTGCGACATATTCAAACACTGGTCATTCATGCGACATAAGAACTACATCTTGTATTAACTACACTGTCTTCTACAACTTTTGGTAACCAACTGACCACGAGTCTAGCTCGTGCTTCCCCTCGCTTACTCGACCAGCCCCAAGTATCTCATGCCATCACTTGTAGCACGGACTTTCTGCTTGCCATAATGTACGCATGGACAAAGCACCTCATCACAACGATGTTAAGTGTAGACAATTTTTAACATATATTAAAAGAAAAAAACATTCTGTGGAAGAAAAAGGGAAACTTTTGTTTTAGGCCCCTACAGATTATGAGGCCTTCAGCTGTTGTTTAGTTAGCTTATTATGTCTAAATCCAGCACTGGCTGCATGTTTGAAAATTTTCAATTCTGATAAATTATACATCAAGTTCTAGACCTAATATTTTTTTTTTTTTTTTTTAGATCAGCATGAACTTCATGGGTGATGTAGTCAACATTATGTCAGCCGCCTTTAATTCCCAGGACATTATCTGATACCCATTTTGGGCTGGATCGACCTGGTAGCCAAGGTCAATTTTAAATATAATATACTTCGAAGCAGATCTGAATCCCTGACCTCCAAGATCCAGGTGAATTTCTGGCATAAAGTAATCTGAGAGTAAGGTCTGAAGTAAAAGAATCTAAGAGTGTAGTCTGCATGTAGTAAAAGAATCTGACAGTGTAGTCTGAAGTAACAGAATCTGACAGTGTAGTCTGAAGTAAAAGAATCTGACAGTGTAGTCTGAAGTAAAAGAATCTGACAGTGTAGTCTGAAGTAACAGAATCGGACAGTGTAGTCTGAAGTAACAGAAACTGAAGGTGCAGTCTGAAGTAACAGATTTTCAAAGTGTATGCTGAAGTGACATAATCTGATAGTGCAGTTTGAATTACAAGATTCTGAGAGTATAGTCTGAAAATACAGAAGGTAAGAGTATAGCTTCTAGAAAACAAAAGTCCTAGTCCAAAAAAAACATATTTTTGGCGTAATCAGAAATAACATATTTTAGCATAATCTGAAATAACATATTTTGGCGTAATCTGAAGAAGCATTATCTAGGACTATAGGCTGCAGTAAAATGCCTAAAGATGGAAGCTATGTACACAATCAACTAGAACACTACACATTTTCTTACTGCTGTCTCTGTCTTGAATCAGGTTCTGCTGAGCAGGCTGGCTGCTTCCATCTCCTGAGGTTCCTTCCGGTCTAGAAGCAACTGGAAGGTTACTGTAGCTGGAACCTGGGGCACACACACAGATGTCATTTTCACTGAGATTAAACAATGAGGGAACACACCAAAAGGTGTGATGTACTACAAGGGGGATTGAAAAGAAAACCTTTAAAGTGTGATAGAAATCTTAAACAACCATGCCACAGTCTTGTAACCTGTCATTATTGTTGTTAAATATGTCAAGAGTATTAGGCACAAAACATCACAGAGGATATTGAAAGACATAATGCTGTCAGAGTAGTCTTCAGGAATAAGCGCAGACAATAAATACATGGAGATGAGTATTAAGAAATGAGGTAAACAAGATGGGAAGGACATAAGGTGAGCTGCATGCAACAGCAAAGGATAGGACCATGGGGGGCAAACTGGCTGAGTGTCTGCTTCAGTGAAGGAATAAAGGGCAGAAATGAAATAGAATGCCTGCCATCCAAGGGCAGTAGTTTCCTAGGGACTAAATGAACTCTTCAGGGTACTAAGGTATATATCACAGGATTTATAACTAATTTAACTCTCTGGTACCAAAAGAGTTGGAACATCTGAAGTTAACGTCAAAAGTTAAAGTCGACAGAATGGACTTCACTGCACCAGGTTTTATCTCATTTGGCTTAGTCTCTCTCTCCACAGAACAGCTATCTGCCTGCACAAAGCACAAACTCCATAACTCCAGGAGCGATTCCCAGAAATCACTATAAAAATTGCACCAATGAACCAAACAGAAAATGAACCCATGAGCTTCACAGCACAAGGCAAATATCTTGACCACTTTGCCAGGGAAATCCCCAGCTGACATCAACAGATACTTCTTATTCACATTCACCAGCTGTAAACTTTAGCGGAAGGTTCTGGGTGTTCGTCCACCTCCAGACATTAAGTCTTGTTCCAGAACCTGAGTGTTGTGAGTAAATCAGTTTCAAACATCTGCCTTATTTATTTGCAGACTCTTGGTATCTTGTCTATCAGACAAATGCATTCCAACTCCAAAGGATGCCCCCAGTTAGTCGACTCCTACGACATGCTTGTTGGGGAGGCAGTGAGTCTTTTCTTGTTTTCCCCACAAACAGGTACATCTACATCAGGGCTGTTAAAATGGTGGCGATCACTGCCAGCTGTTCTATATCATTGACCTTTTACTGCTGGGGCTCTCGCCTCTGGCCTGTGACGATATCGATTTTCAGAATTATTATGGGGCCTGGAACCCATAGGGGGATTAAAGAGCAAAATATCCCTCTTATGAAGCCAAACAAAGGAAAGGAGGTAAAAGTGGGACAAGAAAAGTTTATTTTAAGCTAGGACAAAGAGAAGCATAACGGCCTGTTCGCTTCCTCATCACTTTAGTACATAAGGATTTCTTCTTCTTCTGTGATCGGCCTTGAAGGGGGGGGGGGGGGGGGGGGGGGGGGGGGGGGGGGGGGGGGGGGGGGGGGGTGGGGGGGGGGGGGGGGTGGGGGGGTGGGGGGGGGGGGGGGGGGGGGGTGGGGGCGGGGGGGGGGGGGGGGGGGGGGGGGGGGGGGGGGGGGGGGGGGGGGGGGGGGGGGGGGGGGGGGGGGGGGGGGGGTGGGGGGGGGGGGGGGGGGGGGGGGGGGGGGGGGGGGGGGGGGGGGGGGGGGGGGGGGGGGGGGGGGGGGGGGGGGGGGGGGGGGGGGGGGGGGGGGGGGGGGGGGGGGGGGGGGGGGGGGGGGTGAGGGGGGGGGGGGGGGGGGGGGGGGGGGGGGGGGGGGGGGGGGGGGGGGGGGGGGGGGGGGGGGGGGGGGGGGGGGGGGGGGGGGGGGGGTGGGTGGGGGGGGAAAGTTGTGTTGTCATTTACAACTAGAATGCACCATTCAGTCCAACACATCTAACCTCCCTCAGCAAACATCTATTAGTAGCCTTTCAGGGCATGCTTGTTAGAGGGGTTACACCCCCCCCCCCCCTTTCCCCCAGTGAGTTTAACCCCCCCCCCCCCCCCCCCCCCCATGAGTTTACTCTCTCTCCCCCCCAGTGAGTTTATTCTTTCTCCCCAGTGAGTTTATTCTCTCTCCTCCCAGTGAGTTTATTCTCTCTCCTCCCAGTGAGTTTACTCTCTCTCCTCCCAGTGAGTTTACTCTCTCTCCCCCAGTGAGTTTATTCTCTCTCCTCCCAGTGAGTTTATTCTCTCTCCTCCCAGTGAGTTTATTCTTTCTCCTCCCAGTGAGTTTATTCTCTCTCCTCCCAGTGAGTTTATTCTCTCTCCTCCCAGTGAGTTTATTCTTTCTCTCTCCCAGTGAGTTTATTCTCTCTCCTCCCAGTGAGTTTATTCTCTCTCCTCCCAGTGAGTTTACTCTCTCTCCTCCCAGTGAGTTTATTCTCTCTCCTCCCAGTGAGTTTATTCTCTCTCCTCCCAGTGAGTTTACTCTCTCTCCTCCCAGTGAGTTTATTCTCTCTCCTCCCAGTGAGTTTACTCTCTCTCCTCCCAGTGAGTTTATTCTCTCTCCTCCCAGTGAGTTTATTCTCTCTCCCCCAGTGAGTTTACTCTCTCTCCTCCCAGTGAGTTTACTCTCTCTCCCCCAGTGAGTTTATTCTCTCTCCTCCCAGTGAGTTTATTCTCTCTCCTCCCAGTGAGTTTATTCTCTCTCCTCCCAGTGAGTTTATTCTTTCTCCCCAGTGAGTTTATTCTCTCTCCTCCCAGTGAGTTTATTCTCTCTCCTCCCAGTGAGTTTATTCTCTCTCCTCCCAGTGAGTTTATTCTTTCTCCCCAGTGAGTTTATTCTCTCTCCTCCCAGTGAGTTTATTCTCTCTCCCCCAGTGAGTTTATTCTCTCTCCTCCCAGTGAGTTTACTCTCTCTCCTCCCAGTGAGTTTATTCTCTCTCCCCCAGTGAGTTTATTCTCTCTCCTCCCAGTGAGTTTATTCTTTCTCCCCAGTGAGTTTACTCTCTCTCCCCTAGTGAGTTTATCCCCCCCCCCCTTCCAGTTAGTTTATTCTATCTCCCACAGGTGGTTTATTCTCTCTCCCACAGGTGGTTTATTCTCTTCTCCCAGTGAGTATATTCCCCCCCCCCCCCAACCAAAATGGGAAACACAATCTTCTTCTTCGACTGTAAACTCCTGTGGAACATTTTGGCAGTTTGTCCACATCTGAACTTTGGTCTTGCTCAAGAACTTGAGTTTTGTGTGTACATCCATTTTACTGATCTGGCTATTTTGACTTTGGCTCTGTTCCAGAACTATATTTATGCGTGCATAACCATTTTATATATCTGGCATATGTGTGTGCAGACTGTTGGTTCCTCTATTATGACAGAGGCACCCTGACTTCAAAGGAAATAACTCTTAATTAGTCATCATTTATGACATGCTTGTAAGAGGGTCAGTGGGTTTATTCTTTGCCCCCCCCCCCCCCCCCCATTTCCCACAATGGGGCCCGGGAACCCATACAGGAAGCAAAAAGATATAATAATGAACTACCTTGCACAAAAGATGAACTTCCAGGACGTCTGAGCTGTTCAATCCCATAAAGACAACCCCTTCCTTTGGGAAGACGAGGCACATTTGTTTGATCCTGATATCTGGAAGTGATCACTGGTTGCTTACCATTAGTGAATGTTTCTGGACTATAACTCTCTTCTACTTTGTTATTCTTCAGCTGCTCAAGTGAAGACTGGTAGCCCTGCGCCAATGTTTCATTATGCCGCTGATTATAAAGATCATTCTGTTGCTGCCGCAGATATGATGAATTAGCCGGCCTTGGAACAGAGTATGAATTGTTCCCTTCAGAAGTTTGATCATAAAACTCCTGATGGACATATGGGTCTTCTTCAGTTCTAAAGGGCTGTGACATATTAACTTGACCGGAACCATCAGCAGAATCTGGAGGCATTGTGTCCGATAGTTGGAATCTTAATGCGCCTACCGGCTGCAATTCTGTAAAAAGGGAGAAAAAAAAACACTGTACAGTTCAAAGATATAATGTAAAATGTCGATTTCTGTAACATTCACCATACTTTCAGTTTTTTAAAGCTATAATTACTAAGACAAAATTTCAGAATACTTAAATAAAATAAAGCAATTAACAGAATCCTTCTAACAGAAATACAAAAAATCAACTACATGCAAAGTTAACTGCCTGTTTCACAAGGGCAAACGGCAAAAGTAGCTTAATGATCATGTCTTTCTGTCTGCACAAATTAGGATGGAAGCCATTTTAATCCACTGTTATAGTAGCAGGCGCCTAATGAGACAATGAATTATGCCAGGCAAAAAATTATGCAATGTATTGTTTGTGTCTTCTTGCCAGCTTGCATGATGTTGTCCACAGTACCCATCAAGTGCTGGTTTTCCTATGTGGGTCCAGGTGCCGGAAGGGGGTGGCTGGGTGGGGGAATAGATCCACTAATTAGAAATGTTTCCTTCAAAGTTGAAGTACATCTGCCTGAGAAGTGAGGAACCAACAGTCTGTAAATAAACAAATATTTATATAAATATACATACGTACATATATATGTGTGTGTGCGTGCATTTATAAAGACATTTTAGCAGTCTTTAATATATAAAATGTGTATCTTTTGGTACTTTTCAAAAAAGATTTGGTACTATTCCCACCCAAGTTTTTTTTCAATAACTGATTGACAATTTACCTGACCAGGACATCACACTGAGCGATAAATAAACGGTGACACAAAGTGCCACCTTTCAGATGAAGATCACCTGGGGACAGGTCCCAGAAACCCCGTTCAAACCACAGGTTGGGTTCAGGTTATATTAGGGCCCTCTGAAACAGCCAGGGCGGGGCTTCAAAATAACGAAAAATTGTGTCCTACATGGGGACAAGTGTAGTCTTAACAAATGTGTTTTTTTAATTTGCAGCCCTAACTGTAACCCTGTTGTTTCAGGAGTGATTACTGCTTTGGGCAGCCGTTGTTTTGCATATGTAACAACTCTGGTATTGTTTGTGACTGCAGTGTGTAGATGAGTTGGGCACTATAATATATACATTATGAGAACAATTTGGTGTTGGGGGGAAAGGGGGGGGGGGGGGCTGGCTTATTTCATACAAACTGTGATGTGTTTGTACCTAATATTACTTCTGTCATCTAACTCAATTCTGGACTGTATGTCTTGAAACATGTTTCAACAAATATTGGTGGCTCCATTCGCAGGTTTGCCCGTCTGCTCAATGATCATGGTTTTCAATCCATCGGATTTTATAAACACTGACCAAGACTCTAAAATTCTTCTGTTTCTTCTTCTCTTCCTCTCATTTACACTGCCTCCCCAGAAGCATGTCGTAAGAGTCGACAAATTGGGAGCTTCTTTCCAAGCCAGAGTACATCTGCCTGAGAGGTGTGGAACCAACAGTCTGCATGTAAATGAGTCAGACCTGTGAAACAGTCATGCACATAACATTCAGTTTCTGGAACAGGACTAGATTCCAGAAGTGGCACGAACAACCAGAACTTTTTGCCAGAGTTTACAGCCTGTTTAGTGAAGAAGAAGAATTCCTAATGGTACAATTTCAGAGAATTACAAGGATGTGTTCCTTTCTAATGTGCTTCGTAAAAATTTAAAAAATATTTGTTAACAGGCCAAAGGGTTAATAAACACATACATTACTTAAGCTCACCTTGTTGCACATAATTTCCTCGGCCCCGACCTCTGCCAAACCCAGAGTTTGAGAGGGTCTGAGACAGTGAAAACTCAAATACTGGATTTTTTAAGCCTGGTTGAGCGGATGTCTTAGACGTCTCTGTTAGCTGTGCAACCATGGATGGAGTAAACGGGAACTTCCTACAGGTCTCTTCTCCAGATGCTGCTGCAGCACTTCTAGGTAACGTACTTGGATAGTTTGCCCCTGGTATTGTACGAGGTGCCTCGCTTTCATTGCTGTCCCTTGAGAAATAAAATACAATGGTTAGTTAGTTTGTTAATCGACAGATTATCCTGACTACCTATCGGGAAGTCCATAAGCGCTGCGATCCCAACTTTATTATATCCCTCAGCATGTGGCGACTGACCATGATGACAGCAAGTTTGTCGGATTCATTGCATGCTGTTGAACATATTTCCAAGACAATTTCAGCTCTGATGCAGGAAACCGTCTAGCACCAGCGAAAGACTTTAAAATCTGGGGGGGGGGGGGGGGGGGGGGGGACTTCCTTTCTTACTTTAGCATCACACTAACCATAAATAATACATTAATTCCACTCCCTTTATGTATAGTCAGTGGCGGTTAGAAAACAGTGTCCCAGAAGTGACCTTTAACAATTCCTTTAATAACTTCTTTGTATATTTTCAAACAACCTTAACTCTGATTAACTCCTTTAGTCCTGAAAGGTTATTTAGCACTTTTTCTTCTTCTTTTGTCATCTCACTGATACAAGGTTGTAGCACACTGTTGTGGTTTTCTGTACTTGTCTTGAGCTTCTTATGTAGCTTGGATGGCTTTAGAGTGGCAATCACTGAGTCTGAACCATAAGATGCTGACATTTCAGCCTGTAGTTTTGCAGTCTGTCCAAAATTTGTGCAGTTTAGAGTGGCAATTGCTGAGTCTAAACTCTTCACCATGAGACGCCAACATTTCAGCATTGCAGTCTGTTACAAACCCTGAGGAAAGACATTAAACTGGCACTGCTGCAATGGCTTGTCCACAACACACCTAGTTGACAGCACCGGTTCTGTTTACTGTTTCATTAGGTATTAGAAGCAGATCATGGGCATTCCCCGCCATCCAAGGAGGCTTCCATAAACGCAGAGCTGACACATAATGCTCTGGAATCACTACGTCCTGCACATGTCTGCTTAATCTCACATCTGTATGTTGAGCTTTCCAATCGTCACGGGCTGCACTCTCCGGAGATCAGCAGGGAGCAGCCTACAGATCTGGGACAAACAGGTACATTTTTCTTCGACACCTTTAATGTTGTTTCATTTGGAAACTTAACAAGACAGTACGGCAAAAGCATGCATCCAGCAGGGCTAAACCTGTTAGGTCCCACACTCTGGCGCATGGGGCCAATGGTAACAAGCATGTGGGCCTTTCTGCCAATCAGTAGGATATTTTTCGGTCGAACATTCTCGGCTTTGTTTCTATGCCAAAGGAGATGTATCAGACGGATATTTTTTTCAAGCCAGCACACTGCCAGTTTGTCGTGGTGTACCCCAACACGCTGACATTGGGGAACAGCAAGGGATGTTTAAAGACAGGACTGTTTTCATGGTTATCCACCCGCAAGAGACATTACTCGTCTAGGCTGCAAGAAAAAAATCTCTTTTTTGGGGATCAATCTCAGCAGCACAGTGGTTCTGCCAACTCGACAGACGTTTTAACCGAAGGTTGTCATTTAGTAGTATTGTCAGCCAGCGGACCTTACCCATGTTCCAATTGAGCTTTGGTAAATGTTCGCACTCAAGTGCTGGGGGGTAGGCTGATGTGAGCCAGGCTGGACACAACACTTCTAGAGGCCACCAGCTTCGAGATACCCTGCCAACTCGGTTCAGGTCACAAAGGTGAGCCTTTATTCGTGGCGCATGACGTGAATGTGCAGCAGGAGTCTTGCATGAGGATCCGTAAAATCATCCAAGAGCTGGTTGGTGGCCGAGGTGAGGTAACTCCTTATACACATCACAATGACCTTAACTTTCTCTCATTCCTGTGATCAATACCACCGCGCCACGTACTCCATTTAATGCTCATCTCTACTCTCTGCTGTTTACATTTTTACATAAATCTAACATAAATTTACAAACTGAAATAACAAAAGAAATACTTACGATACTTTCTTATTGAACAAAGCAACTGGGGCATTAGAAGCAGCCTCTGAAAAAAAAAAGAAAGAAAGAAATTGGTAAAAAATATATAGAAAAAATTTAATCTTTAATTTCTTGAAAATCACAGTCGCCGAATAACTTGTGTATGCTCTCTGACTTGACAACCAGGTACAAATCAAACTAGATTACTTCTTTTTCGCTAGTCACAGTGACATAAGTGTGTGGTGCCTAGCTGTACAATATATGCATTTCAACCGACACATCTGAATTCATTAGGCATTTGATTTGCAGCTTACTTTTCTTAGTTATTTAGGACAGCTTAGTTTTCTTGGTTTGTTGCTTAGGACATTGCATAGCCTCCAAGAAGTGGCGACAGTTTCTTAGGACATTGCATAGCCTCCAAGAAGTGGCGACAGTTTCTTAGGACATTGCATAGCCTCCATGAAGTGGCGACAGTTTCTTAGGACATTGCATAGCCTCCATGAAGTGGCGACAGTTTCTTAGGACATTGCATAGCCTCCATGAAGTGGCGACAGTTTCTTAGGACATTGCATAGCCTCCATGAAGTGGCAACAGTTTCTTAGGACATTGCATAGCCTCCATGAAGTGGCGACAGTTTCTTAGGACATTGCATAGCCTCCATGAAGTGGCGACAGTTTCTTAGGACATTGCATAGCCTCCATGAAGTGGCGACAGTTTCTTAGGACATTGCATAGCCTCCATGAAGTGGCGACAGTTTCTTAGGACATTGCATAGCCTCCATGAAGTGGCGACAGTTTCTTAGGACATTGCATAGCCTCCTTGTTGTGGTGAAACAATGTGCTGCCTACACAGAGCTCATCTCAGGCATTTCCTGCCATCCAAGGAGGCTTCCATAATTAAAGAGCCAACATATGGACTGGTAGTGGGCTCACTCAGGCCCTACATATGACTGCTGCTTAACCTCTCACTATGGCGGTTTTGTGGCTTAGAGGGTAGCGAATGCGGTTCACAATTTCATGACCCTTAAATACCAGTATTTGTTCTACATGGTAGACAGTCTTTGAAAAAAAAAAAAACATCTTATGGGTTTCGGACAATGGTGCAAGATTCATGCCGTGGAAGATATTGGAGCCCCATCGTGTAATATTCCCAAAGGCAAGAGTGGTACACTGAGCCAACTTTCAATGTGGACGCAGCAGAGAATTCTATTCTTACTATGTGATGTGTCCTCTAGGGATCAGCCGGAAGCATTCTGCAGAGACTTACATCGGTTAGTGTTAATAAACTTGTGCAGAATATTTATGTAACAGTAAAACAGGTACATCTACATCAGGGCTGTTAAAATGGTGGCCCGTGAAGGCCTAGCGACTGGCCTGCCGATCAACAACTTATCCAGACTACACACCCAAAGAAAGAGGAAAAGGAAACAACATCAGAAAACACAAATAAATGAATGTTTCCACTTACCAGACCCCCATTCTTCTTCAACCACGCCACTGTCATAATTTGTGACGATCTGTGGACCTTTGACATCCCCACAGTGGAACCCATCGACTCCGGCAGACGCCTTTACTGGGAACAAACAAGATCATCATCATTGTCTGTTCTGTGCCGGTAAGCATACACTGTTATGTTTGGCAATCATCACTGCAAAGTTTTTGTCTATCTGACCAGACCATCCAGATATTTATCTCTTTGCCTTCCTCTTACTCTTTCCATCAATCTTTTTTTTTTACAAACGGAGATAATTCAGTTATTCACCCTCACCACATTTCTAGCCACGTGTACAAAGTTATGTTCAGCCTAAAAAAAAGTTACAATTAGGGCACCCGTTATTTATGGTCGTGTAGACACAGGGATCTTTCAACCTCTGGACCGCATGGCTAGTTGTAGTAGTAGATTTTACCCTACTAGGACATCACACAAGCGATAAACACCTGACACAAAGTATCAAGATGTGGATGAGAATCACCCCTGGAGAGGTCCCAGAAACCGCATTTAGCCATTAGGCCATATTTATGGCCGGGCTATATTGCGGCCCCCGGCAAGAGCCAGGGTGGGGCTTCAAAATAATGAAAAACTGCATCTCACAAGGAGATGACTGGTTAGTTTGTAGGTGCACATGGCTATGCTGTCACCACAAAATGTACAGGTTAGGATTTTATTTTTAGCTTCTGGCACACAAAAATCCACAACCTTACTGAGGATTCAAACCTGGGACTCCTGCATAAGAGCACCTGAACCGTTCAGCCATCCGCCACTCACATCATGCTATTCTACCATATAACAAAAAAGAATAGATATGCCCATTAGCACATCGTAAAAACAGAAATGTTCGAAGTTACAAAAACACACACATGTACTGTTTGTTTATATATACATACAAAATACAAAATCAAGTGCCGTAGTCGACTGGTGATCATGATTTCTGTGATCTCCAGGCATGAATTCTTGTCTCTTTATTCTTCTTTTTCTGCTTCCACTACTACTAATTTCAGTGCGCTACTTATGTAACTAATATGTGAATCAGTTGACCCAAAAAAAGGCAATATCTTCTGCCCTTAAAAGGGTGGTTGGCCCACTGTGTTGTGGTTTACAGATAGGCTGTGACATCTTTGCATTTCTGCACAATTTCATCAATCCCTTAATTAGTTGCATAAATGATAGGCAGTGGGTATATTCTCTCTCCCCCCCCCCCCCCCCCCCCCCCCCCCCCCCATATGCCTCAGAACCCACACAGGGCACTTATTTAATTTATAAGTGCATAAGAAACAAAAAAGAAAAACAATAACTGTAAAATACAAAATTTGCAAATGGTGAATCATTAACAAGTAAAGATTACAATATTGTATATATCGGGGAAGGCTAACCAGGTCAACAAATTCCTGCAGAAGTCGGATGTGTCAGCCAAAGGGCGCAAATATCGCAGCAATGTTGTAAACAGTCACAACGTAATTATATCTTCAGATGAACGCAGAAGAAGTATTGTATACATACTTACACTGTAATTCTCTATCTAACAGGTATCGACTCGGGCAAACACTCAAGTGGTAGGGTAGCTCTGGTTTCGGTATTAAGTGGGTCTTATCAAATTTGCAAGCTACTTTCTTGTGTGTTTTATGGTTCTGTAATTTAAAAAAAAATGTATATGATAATTGTAACACAATGAAAGAACATTCACAGTTACACGACCTCATGCTTCCCCGTCAAACAGAGGGTCCCCTGAAAGCCAATTGGTCAAACTGTGTCATCGGGAGGGCCATATACGACAACTAACTGGAGTCATTTAATAACAACTATTGCAGAATATTTCCTGTGTGTGGGCCACAGGTGTGCTTGCAAAGAGCTACCCAGTTGGACACATGTGACCTAAAGCATTATCATCTTCTCCTTCTTCTAGGTAGTGCTCAATGGCTGTAAACTGAAGCGGAAACTTATAGTTGTCTGTCCACTTTAGTTGTTCCTGAAAACAAGCTTTGCCTGCGCATCCATTTTACAGATCTTTTTTAATTATATGCAGACTGTTGGTTTCTTGCCTCTTGGGCAGATATACTCCACTTCAAAAGAAACACCCCTAATTAGACGACTTTTACAACATGCTTGTTAGGCGGCAGCGGATATACCCCATCTTAGGACTGAGCACATAAAGGAATGCCTAATGTGCAGCAACACTGACTATGATAACATTACACACTGCCCCCCCCCCCTCCAAAAAAACCTTGATAGAGATTCAACCTCAAAAACCGGGCTCTGTGGCTGATATCTTAATCAATGTCCTGTTGTGTCATTATATGTCTCATATGTCTTTTCCTCTGTTCCCTTCTATCATGTGCAATCCCTCTGATTTCATGGATGCAATTCTGTCAAGCACATTTGGCTTCTCTCAACAACATTCATTTCAAGGTTTGTTTTGAACATCTTCAGTTCCTCATCCTCTCTTTTCACCCTTTTACTGCCTGTTTAGTGATTCTCTGCTTATTTCTTTTCAGGATGTTTCAGTATAGCCCCGTCTTCTCTTCTCTGTCTTACAACTGTCATTAGCAATGGTTGCCCAAACATTTCTATTATGTCTTTACCCCTTTTGAATTCACCCCATTTTGGGAACAAATCTAAAATGGGTGTCAGGAAGACATGGGAAGTAAAAGTAGCTGGTTTCATTGACCTCTGAGTAAGGATTTATGAATTAACAACAACAACAAAAATACACACAAAATTTGCGCAAACATTCCAATGGTGTGGAAAATGTGCTCTAATTTTGGGTTAGGTTTCTTCATATTGGAAGGTTTGAATTATTGTATGATAAATTGAACTACAGGATACAGTTTAACCATTGGGTGTCCTAATTTTATTGTTGTATAACTTTTTTTATGGTGATAAGTTAAGAACTGACATACAGCATTCAGGGCATTCCCATAAGCGCTCTGTCCCCATCTTTAGCACCCAGCTCAGAGTTCCAATACCAATGGTACCAGTAGCAGTATGATTGTATGTCCATCTTGCCATTCCTCCAAAAGTCGAGTATCAACCAGATCCTCATGTCACTTCTCGCTGCATCACTTTCATCAGACATTTTTGTTCCTCCGAAATGGAGATGTGCTACTATAAGCCTTTAACTACGTCTGCCTTATTACTTACTTACTTAGTCGCTCCTCTTCTACCTTGGGGTGTAGAGGTTTGCCAGAGAGATCGCCAGACGTCTCTATCAGCAGTTTTCTTTCTGGCTTTGTAATTGTTCCATTCCAGTCCTCTGTCAGTTAGGGACTGTCGGATGTTGTCTTCCCAGCGCACCCTGGGTCGTCCCGGAGGTCTGGTCCCCTGGTTCTTAGCCTCCCATGCTTGCCATGGTGGCCGATTTTCTCCCATTCTGCATACGTGTCCAAACCATCGTAACTGTGACTGATCTACTCGGGTTACTGAGGGCTGGGTATCAAGATCTTGACGTATTGTCTGATTGCGGACTTTGTCCCTTCTTGTCACTTGGACCACCTTTCTCAGGTATCTCATTTCTGAGGCCTGCAGCTGGCTTCTGTGAGCTGTTGTCATTGCCCATGACTCACACCCATAGGTCAGGACTGGTACATAGGTAGAGTGGTAAACAGCCATATTCGTCCTCTCACCAATTTCTCTTTTGCTAAGAAACCCTCGGTTTATGGCCTGGAAGAGTCTCCCAGCAGCTGCTTTTCGTGTAGCCAGCTCAGTCTTAATGCCTCCATTTTGGTCTAATACAACTCCAAGGTATTTGAACTGGTTAACCTGCTCCAACGCATACTGTCCCATCATGATCTGGTGTTTCTACTCCTCTCTTGAGATCACCATGGTTTTAGTTTTGGAGACACTGATGGTCATCCCTTTCTTTTCAAGCTCTTCCTTCCAGACAAGTAAGTTGGACTGAAGGTGTGCCTCTGATTTAGCTATCAGGGCCACATCGTCTGCAAAAGCCAGCTCTGATATACAGATTGGTCTCATCTTCCAGTACCCTACAGAGTACTTCTTTGTCTTCTCCTTACAGGTTTTGATGACATCATCCATCATAAGAATGAAGAGGTAAGGTGAGAGAATATAACCTTGTCTAACACCGCTGGCAGTCTTGAATTCTTCTGACTTTTGGTCTGCTGTTCTTACATAATTTCTGCACTTTTTGTAGAAACTCTGTATTGCACTGATCAGGGGTGCTGAGATGTTTTTCCCTGCCAAGCAGTCCCAGAGCTTGTTCCAGGGTACCTTGTCAAATGCCTTTTCCAGATCTAAAAAACATAAGTGCATCTCACTCTTATATTCCAGGGCTTTTTCACTCATCTGTCTCAGTGTGAAGATAAGGTCTTGAGTACTTTGGTTTGCTCTGAAGCCGCATTGGGCCTCGTCCAGCTGTGGCTCTACCAGACTTCTAAGTCTCTGCTCAAGAATTCTAGAGTAACTTTTACCGGGAACGCTGAGGAGGGATATGCCTCTGTGGTTTTCACATTGTCTGTTATCACCTTTTTTAAACATAGGTATACGTCTGCCTTATTATGCATCAATATTCCACCAAGTTGTGTGGTATGTATCGTGGGTTATGGAACAGCACTGTCTAGATATTTTTTTTCTAGGCATGCGGGTGTCTGGAATATGAACAGGCAGACAGATCGGCTGCCTCTAAACAAACTGGTTGAACACTGATGCATGTTTTAGGGTGATACACAAGACCAGGGTTTTCCTTGGTGATTTCAAAATGTAATAAAAGTATCATTGTTCAATAAACTGTGCAGTTAGAAATAATGATAAGACAGGTACAGCAAGCTGTTAGAGGATTTAATTGTTCAAACACAAACGATTTAGACAGAAAGAGGAGAAAATCGAACAACACAACTAGCAAAAGACCGGAAACTGCATCTAACTCCTCAATAGAAAGTTTTACAACGAAGTTGTAATCGCAGGGACCGAGTTAGCGAAGTTGATAGGAGACTCACTTTCAAATTCAGATGCGACTCGCTGCAGCCCACGGCCGGTTTTCGAAACCTGATGGGTTCCAGGGTTCACCCAGCCTCTAAGAAATGGGTACCAGAGTTAACACTCTGGGGTAAATGGAGGACGTCGCTGCAGCTACAGAGTTTCGTGCGGACAGTTTCTAATCAACTGTCTGTACTGGTGGCAGAGCACTTATGGTTTATAACCGTGTGCAATGACACTGGTTCACATCATCCCGACTTTACCTTTTTCTTACAGCACAATCAGTACGACAAAAGAAGACAGAAAATATGGCTGCAGAGGGTTTCTAGAATTGGGTAATGTTGTTATGAACAGACCAGAGCAAGGCATTATTCTACACCTTAGAACAGGACACAATTGATATCGCAGCTAAATGTACACACATTTTAAGATTGGCAAATCACCTTTGTGCCCATGTGGACTGGCACCTGAGACAACAGACCACATCCTCAAAGACTGTCACAGATACAACATTTCCAGGCAAATCTTCTGGCCAAGAGAGACATTGGGGGAAGCCAATCTTGATGGGCCGCTTAGTGAATTACAAACAATAGTGAAATTCATACTAGAAACAGCATTGCAGATATAGATGATTCTTCTTCTTCTTTGTTCACTGGCTGAAAGCTGCAGCGGAAAGTTCTGGTTGTTCGTCCACTTCTGGACTGCAGTCCTGTTCCAGAACCTGAGTGTTGCGTGTGCATCCGTTTTACAGATCTGACTCATTTGTATGCAGACTGCTGATTCCTTGCCTCTCAGGCAGATACACTCTAACTTTGAAGGATATATAGATAATTTATTTCAATTAAATGAAGGAAGAAGAAGAAGAAGGTCTTGTCAGATTCTCATGGGAATAGTGTCTCTATGAGTCACTGGGTGTAAATCTTTCATAATGCAATCCTTGAGTGGAAAGATTTCAGAGAAATATTTTTAAAAATAATTCATCTATACACAGGACAATAATCTCTACATGGCAGTGAAAGATCACTCAGACTCACCTCCCTACACTTCAGTAGGTGCTTGCTGATAAACTTCTCACTTATTATGTGTGTATTATCATAAGGGCATTCAACTGTTGGCTCAAAACCTTCATTAATCATGTTGAACTTCTGCAAACAATTTATAAATATTACGTGTGTATATATATATATATATATGTATGTATGTATGTATGTATGTATGTGTTTGTATAAGAGAGAGAGAGAGAGAGAGAGAGAGAGAGAGAGAGAGAGAGAGAGAGAGAGAGAGAGAGAGAGAGAGAGAGAGAGAGAGAGAGAGAGAGAGAGAGAGAGAGAGAGAGAGAGAGAGAGAGAGAGAGAGAGAGAGAATCTCTAACACAGTGTATGATGTAATGTGAGTTTAAAACTGCATATCATAGTTCTTACAAATTACTGACGTTGTTGCTATAACTATTTTTCCATACATAATAGTAAAATCCAATACAGTGAATTTTCCTGCATTACTGTAACATCTTTTATATTTAAATCAGAAAGTTACTGGTGTCATCGGAACTGGAACTCTTCATTTGCTGTTGTAGATAGGGATGGAACGCTTATGAGAGTGTCCCGAGTGATATGATGTCAATTCTTAATTCAACATTCAACTTTTGAATGTATTTTTCACATATTAATTTAGCATCCACTTAAGTGTGAGACACAAAATGAATGGGCAGTTATTAAACTTGCAGAAGCAGTGGCAATTAAAACCAAGGGGAGTCCTCAGTAGTTCACAATTCTTGCAACAACAACAAACAAAACAAAAAATGTTACAGTTGAGGGGATAAGATTCATTGCACTGGGTTTTATCCCATATAGTTCCCCGTATGGGTTTTGGGGTCCAACTGTGGGGAAAAAAGGAGTCTCTCACTGCCTTCCCAACAAGCGTGTCGTAGGATTCGCCTAATTATGGACTTTCTTCAAAGTCAGTGTACTTCTGCCTGAGTCGCAAGGAACAACCAACTCCATACAAATAAGTCATTAAAGTAGATGACACACAAAACTCAGGCCCTGGCTCAAAGCCAAAGTCCAAATAAATGAACGACCAGAACTTTCCGCTGCAGCTTTCAGCCAGTGAACAAAGAAGAAGAAATCCAATATAGCATGACCTCTTTTCAGAACGGCTAACTGCCTGCCGAGAATGTTCAACAAAGCACAAACAGTGCAGCTCCAGTTAAACTCTATAAAACTGCACTTGTGAAACCGAAGGTGATGCAAACCAATGACTATTCAAGAGCAGAGCCAGGGTTGACTACTTCACCAGTGATTGCAACACAGTCAAGTCCACTTAAGTCAAACTCGGATCATTCTAATTTGGGTTAAGTCAAAATGATCAGCTTAGTCCCAGCAATTTTCTCTATTGTGTGTGTTGTCTGCATAAGTAGAAATCCTGATAAGTGGAAGCATTTTCTTAGGTCCCTTAGACTTCTACTACTTAACCAGACTCGACTGTATTATAATAAATAAGTGTTCCAAGTAAAATTCTGCTATTACTCTACTATTACTAGCATTACATTCACTGAAAATCACACATATAACAACAAGAAAAACAGAAACTCTGACAAGTGTTCTTAGGTGTGAGAAGAGAAGCAGATTTTGAAGAAGGATGACAGGAAAGAGCAAGTAGAGCACAGATAAATGACAATGGGCGGTCTACTAAGATTACAATGAATGATGGGGGGGGGGGGGGCATCACTAATATATCAAAGCTATATGGACAAATAATAGAGATATACTTAATTTTCGTTTTCGGCCTTCGTGTTTCTTTGCCTATCAACGACGTGAATATGAAAATGAAAGTGAAACTGAAACTTCTTCATTGAGGTAACACTGTTTAAAACAGTAATTCAATTATTTATACAAATTTGGTGTCATTTGTTAGGCAGATGAACTGTTTTGAAATTATTTTGAGTACCATTGGTCTTCGCACAGCAATGGAATGAAAGATGTTGATAACCTCCAGATTTCCACGTTAAAAATTAACTGAATCAATTCTTTAAAATTAAATTGATTAAATCGCCGCTCTCCAACTCTTCTCTGAAGTTTAATTTACTTATATATATTGTTTACAAACCTCAAACCTAGAATTTTATTAACTAGGATGTATGTACAATATAATCGAGCCTGTCAACTCAAGATAAAATTAGATTTACTTGTGATTTTATAAGACTAACATACACAGAACTTGTAGAGATAAAGATCCCTGTGATACAGATAGAAAGAATCACCGACAGACAACAAACTCAACAGTGCTAGCACACGAGTACAATTTGGTCCGTTAACTTGGAATGGCGCTATAATTTTAGAGATCAGCCAAGCTATTTGAGAAACAGCTAAACCTTGGCTACTTTTAGCCACTTATTCATCGTCTTTTTTTTTTGTTTGTTCTTAGATCGCATTTTTCTGATTATTCAATTCTCCGTGTTTATCTGCCCGCAAAAGCCCGATTTCAACTACTCATCCTGACTCCAACAAAGTCAGCGACTCTATCTGTCCGCACGCTGGGACCAGATTGCTGACATTCTGTCAGCGCAGATTAGTTTCTTATCTCTAGTACTAGAGGTTCCCGAGGCCAAACTCGGATTACAAGTATACGCTGTTGGTGCACGAATGTTATTTTTTTATTTTATTTTATTATTCAGTCACCGTACAAGCCTTGACGAATGTTGCGTTTAATCCCCAACGGATTTCTTATATGCCTCACAGACCGGACTATGTCTGTTGTTTGTTAAAACAAAAATTGGTACGCCTTTATTATAGATCAGTGGTTCTGAACCTTCCTAACGCCGCGACACTTTAATACAGTTACTTATGTTGTGGTGCCCTCTTAATACCACTTCTCATGTTGTGGCGACCATTTAATACCATTCCTCGTGTTGTGGCGACCACCAACCGTACAATTATATTCGTCGCTACTTCATAACTTCAATGAAAATTTGTTTTGCAGTGATTTTTGGAAGGGTCGCCGACCCCAAAAAAAAGTCACGACCAAAAGGTTGAGAACTGCTGCCATGGCTGATAGCAACCTAGCTGTTATAGATGAGAGCTACACAAGATGCCGGAACCAAGAAGAGTCAGTCATTGGCGTGTAAGAAGAGTATAGGCGCAAATTCATTCAGCACACACAAAAACACAGTCACAATTATTACAACCAAAAGTTCTTGTTGTGGATGCTGGTTAAACGTGGCGATTTTTTTAAAGCCAAGCCGAGCCTATTGATTCAGGGCTGTATAGTTTGAGCAAAATTATCTCACTAATACTTTGGACTATGGAGAATGACCAAAAAGGATGCACACAAGCTATTCACCTTCGACCAAACATGTCTACATAGAATTATCAAAATGTTTGGGCCAGAAACACTAAGCTACTTCAAGTCACAAACCAAGAAACTCTAGACAGTATAATAACTAAAAGAGGAAGGAAATGACTTGTTCAGATTATAAGAATGAATCCCGATATACCTGCCAAAACAGCTCTCAAGTGGATACCACAGAGAAAGAGAAAGAATGGGCGCCCAAAAAAACAACATGGAGACGGACGATGGGAAATGACCTGATTGCGGAATCTCTGACATGGAAAACTGCACTGAAGATTGCACAGGACAGGAAAGCATGGAAAGCTCTCTCAGAAGCCTCATGTGCCACTAGGCATAAAGAGAACTGATGATGATGAATACTCTGGACTAGAGGTTACTTTGTAACAACAGTGGCGCCTTAATACAATTGTACTATATGGTTGAACAGGGTTTCTGCGGTTTACCCCTGTTTGAATCTCGTCCTTGAGTTGGTAATCTACAGATAAGGATCCTGAAAAGGGGGCGGGGGGATAATTCAGGGTTGTTCGCCCGACGAGAACTATTGGGTGCTGAAGTCTAGGCACTCAAATGAGCACACGCCTGAGTGAGGCTCAGTCACCGTAAGAAATCAATCAACAACTAGCTAATTGCTGTTAGCGGAAGTCAAAAGCTGTGTCAACAGGGCTTACATTGGCCAGTGGTGATGTAAGCTGTTTTATCAAACGCTTAATAGTATACTTACAGGTGGGTCGGGCGTTGCCGGCCCATTGTTAAACTACTGTTGACTTGACGCGTGTTGTTTGAGACCTAGAAGTGATCCGCCTGACCAGTTATCATTGGTTATATTGGGTCGCGGGATTTACTAGGGAGGGGATCCGAGCACTTATGGATTGAATAGTACAATGTGTAGTGAGGATAATCTGTTGACTAAATTAACTAACCAACTAACTAACTAACTAACTAACTAACTAACTAACTAACTAACTAACTAACTAACTAACTAACTAACTAACTAACTAACTAACTAACTAACTAACTAACAAGCTAACTACACAACTAACTACACAACTAACTAACTAACTAACTAACTAACTAACTAACTAACTAACTAACTAACTAACTAACTAACTAACTAATTAACTAACAAGCTAACTACACAACTAACTAACTAACTAACTAACTAATTAACTAACTAACTAACTACACAACTAACTAACTAACTAACTAACTAACTAACTAACTAACTAACTAGCTAACTAACAAGCTAACTACACAACTAACTAACTAACTAATTAACTAACAAGCTAACTACACAACTAACTAACTAATTAACTAACTAACTAACTACACAACTAACTAGCTAACTAACTAACTAACTACACAACTAACTAGCTAGCTAACTAACTACACAAATAACTAATTAACTACACAACTAACTAACTAACTAAGTACACAACTAACTAAACTAACTATCTTGCGAACCAGTTATAATTGGGTTACCTGTACATAAAATATATGCATCCTTTTTTCCCAACCGAGGCGAAAAAGAGAGTTCTTAAGAGCTATATAATTCCGTTCCTAATACATGGAAGTGAATCAATGACACACATCCGATTGGAGAGTTCTGGAAGCTTCGGAAATGTGACTTGTAGGCGAATGATAAGAACACCAAAGAGACGGTCTATAACATAGGTTTTGTCACTCTCTAAAAAGGGTGGGGGTGTTGTGTGTTAGACCTAGTATGTAAATGTTTTAGGAATGTTAAAATCTCTGGCATAGTGAAATATACAACACGCCGTATGAGCGCGAG